CCCCCCCCCTCACCAGAACTACGCACATCCCCCCCCCACCAGAACTACGCACATCCCCTCCCCCCCCCTCACCAGAACTACGCACGTCCCCCCCCCACCAGAACTACGCACATCTACAGTTTAATACCTGCTGCCTTGCCTCGTAGCTCATACCCCTCAGCTTTGGGACTAGTCTGGTGACACACCTATTAACATTTTCCTGTTTCGCTTTATTTGTATTAAGATAAGGACCCTGGGCTGGTACGGCGTGTTCCAGAAATGGTCTAACATAATGATATGTTATGTTAGCATATGTTATGCTAACATAAATGAGCAAGTCTTTCTTCAGATTCCGGAAGGCCAACTTTCCGGAATCCGTATGCTGCTACGGACCTTCCAACCTTCCGTATGCTGCTGTGATATTCTTCTGATGTGGGCGGGGTAGGCAGGGTGGGCGGGCATCTCTTCGGGGCAGGGAGACAGCGTGATAGTGTATGCAACACCTCAACACCCAAGACTACCTTAACTATACCCACGCTATCCATGCCCACATAGTATGACAAACTCCATACCCACACATCCATACCACGCCTATAGTATGACAAACCACACGCCCACAAGTAGACAAGGATGGATTATTTAACACGGGTGGGACACGAACAAGGGGACACTGGTGGAAGCTGAGTACCCAAATGAGCCACAGACACATTAGAAATAACTTTTCCACTGTCAGAGTAGTTAGTAAATGGAATGCATTAGGCAGTGATGTGGTAGAGGCTGACTCCATACACAGTTTCAAATGTAGATATGATAAGAGCCCAATAGGCTCAGGAACCTGTACACCAGTTGACTGACAGTTGAGAGGCGGGACCAAAGAGCCAGAGCTCAACTCCCGTAAGCACAACTAAGTGAATACAAATGCAGGATATCATGCAGCAATTTCCGCATACGAGGAACCATGTGTGTGATGTAGTTGGTTACCATTGGCTTCACCGGTGAATATACTAGCCGCTCCTACACCCCCTCCACCCGAGGCGTCATAGTCGGGTGTGGGTGGTGGGCGGGCGGGTGATAAACGGGTGGGGAGGGAGTACTAGGTGGGTGTGGAGGGCAGGGTGAGGACAAAGCCAGAAGGGAGCTACTAATAACTAGTGAGGGGGGAGGAACCATATAAGGTAGCCCTCACTCCACACCCCCGCCCGGGCACGTGTTCTCTCCCCCCCCCCCCACAACCCTTCCTCCAAACACGCGCGCGCCCGGCTACCACACTGGGCAGACGGCTCTATCTCCCTCCCTCGTAGTCACTCATAGGCAAACACACACACACACACACACACACACACACACACACACACACACACACACACACACACACACACACCAGCTACACACTCTACAGCAGTAAAAGTCAGACCATCCTTGGGCAACTTGAATAAGAAGGCTTTTAGATCACTGTATACCGCTGGACGACCAGTGTGTGAGTATGATGTCGCCTCATCGTCGAGGCCCCTGTCTTAAACACAAACCACACAGAGAAAAGGTTCACAACTTGCAACGAGCCTCATCTTGAGAGAGAGAGAGAGAGAGAAGGGTGGGGGGGGAGGGGACATGATACAATACGTAGGGGGATTGACAGAGTGGAAAAATAAGAAAGGTTTACAATAAATACCAATAAAGCAAGAGGGAATGGAAGAAAAGATTTAGATGTGTCCTAGATGTGTCCTAGATATGTCCTAGAGATTCTTTTAGTGTAAGAGCAGTATGGAACTGGAATAAAGTAACAGAGCAAGTTGTAAAGATAAACTCCATGCATAACTTTGAAAGCAGGTGTGATAGGGAAAGAAAGGAGGCATTGCGTTAGACAACATGAGGTTAGCAAGGCAGATTCCAAGAGCTAAAGCTCGATCCGTTGACGGTAGAATCAGAATGGTAGACGGTTGGAACAAGTGAGGTGGTGGTGGTGGAGGCCAAAACCGTCAATGGTTTCAAGGCGTTATACGACAAAGAGTAGTGGGAAGACGAGACACTATGAGCGTAGCTCTCACCCTGTAACTACACTTGGGTAATTACCACTTGACTGAGGGTGGAGAGGCGGGATCAAAGAACCGAAGCTCAACCCCCGCACACACTACTAGACAAGTACTATACAACCACCGCACCTATCACCTACCTGGATACTATTGTTCTAGGTAGGTGAGGTACCCCCCCCCCCCACCCCCCACGATCCCCACCCCTACCACAACCTTGACCACCACTACGATCACCACCACAACCCTATATTACCCGTCGTCTGTTTCCAGAATTCTTCTCCCGAAACCTGGCGTGTCCGTTGATAACTTGATCGATTAGGCTGTTGCTTGGAGCGGCCCGCAGGCCCACATATCCACCACAACCCGGTTGGTCCGGCACGTCTTTGGTTCCGGCAATATTTCTTGGGGAGGATATTGAATAGTGTTGAATACAGTGTGTGTGTGGAGGTATACCCAACACCTCCACACTACACTGGGTGTAACCTGCAGCTCCGACGATATCTTGGGATCCAGTAAGTTGTTATTGTGCTCCTCATATTTGGGAGCTCCTCTTCTTTCAAGACAGAACATTTACAGTGCTATGCGACGGCCCCAGTCCCAATAGGTCAACCAATCACACACAGTATCAACCATTATCCAAGACTAGCCGGTCGGCCGAGCAGACAGCACACTGGACTTGTGATCCTGTGGTCCCGGGTTCGATCCCGGGCGTCAGCGAGAAACAATGGGCAGTTTGTTTCACCCTGATGCCCCTGTTACCTAGCAGTAAATAGGTACCTGGGAGTAAGTCAACTGTCACGGGCGGCTTCCTGGGAATGGAGGCCTGGTCGAGGACCGGGGCGCGGGGACACTAAGCCCCGAAATCATCTCAAGATAACCACAGAAGCTATCGTCTTATCAACCAATTAACCATAGAGCCGTCGAACTATCCGAGGACAACACCCAGCGAACAGGAACCAAACAAATTATCAGTGAGTGATGTTTGGTTGCTTGACTAACAGCACGGGGCCTCCACCAGCCAACCTGGCCACCAATCAACCAGCTGTCAAGCGAGTGAGGGGGCACGCCCAGCTGATTATGGTACAGTCCTTGACATGTTATGTGCGGGGTGAGGATAAGATAGCAGGAGGGGGGGGGGCATGACATGGTCACACAGGGCCCGAGGGGGGGGTAGTGGTGGGGGCGGGAAGACTGGGTGAGAGGTGGCGGCTCCACCTCCAGGAGGAAGGCGGCCACCAGTAGTAGTGCAGTAGCCGCCGGCCAGCAGGACCCTGAGGCTCTCGCTCCTGGCCCCGTCACCAACACCTCACCTGGGGCTCTACCAGCACCTCACCTGGGGCTCTACCAGCACCTCACCTGGGGCTCTACCAGCACCTCACCTGGGGCTCTACCAGCACCTCACCTGGGGCTCTACCAGCACCCATGTGTTGTGACCTGGGATAACAGCACTCCATGTGCTCACCTACTTGTGCTTGCGGGGGTTGAGCTCTGGCTCTCTGGTCCCGCCTCTCAACTGTCAATCAACAGGTGTACAGATTCCTGAGCCTACTGGGCTCTATCATATCTACACTTGAAACTGTGTATGGAGTCAGCCTCCACCACATCACTGCCTAATGCATTCCATTTACTAACTACTCTGACAGTGGAAAAGTTCTTTCTAATGTCTCTGTGGTTCATTTGGGTACTCGGTTCCCACCTGTGTCCCCTTGTTTGTGTACCGTCCGTGTTTAACAACCGTATCTACCCCTCTCAATTTCTTTGAAAATTTTGTAGGGTGTGATCATGTCTCCCCCTTACTCTTCTGTCTTCCAGTAACGTGAGGAGCATTTCACGGAGCCTTTCCTCGTAACTCATGCTTCTTAGTTCTGGGACTATATCCTAGAACTAGGTTCAGTTATATATGCCACTAGTGGCACTAGTTATATATGCCACTATATAACTAGTGGCATATATAGTTATATGCCACTATAACCTAGTGGCATACCTCTGACATTTTTCCAGCTTCGTCTTGTGCTTAACAGGGTACGGGCTCCATGCTGGGGCCGCATACTCCAGGATTGGTCTTACATATGTGGTATACAAGATTCTGAAAGATTCCTTTCACAGGTTCCTGAAGCAAGTTCTGATGTTAGCCAGCCTTGCATACGCCACTGATGTTAATGCAGGGCACGCCGCACATGTGAAGCAGGGCATGTGTGGTGACCTGGAGCTGTACCACCACCAGGTGTGTAGTGCATGTGTTGTGACCTGAAGCTGTACCACCACCAGGTGTGTAGTGCATGTGTTGTGACCTGGAGCTGTACCACCACCAGGTGTGTAGGGCATGTGTGGTGACCTGGAGCTGTACCACCACCAGGTGTGTAGGGCATGTGTGGTGACCTGAAGCTGTACCACCACCAGGTGTGTAGGGCATGTGTTGTGACCTGAAGCTGTACCACCACCAGGTGTGTAGGGCATGTGTTGTGACCTGAAGCTGTACCACCACCAGGTGTGTAAACAAAGCTGGTGGCACATCCTGGAGTACAAGAGCCACAAGAGAGTAAACACACACAGCACAAGAGTGGACGGGGACGAGACATCAGCGCCGGAGTCTTCCTAACAACACAAAACCTGTAAGAGTCACGTAACAGACAACTCCAGTACTGGTCAAGACCAACACCGCCAACTTCACCATTCCTCTGTAATCAATCACATATTCCAGGTATTTTAACTGCCACTTCAATTATTTGTCAATCACATTTATTTAAAATAATAACAACTCATTGTGTCGGGGGACAGGAAGCCAGAGTGCATTCACACACGTTAGGCTTATATCTAGTCCCCCCCCCAGGTCGAATTACTGACCCAGGCCCAGGATGCAACCATACAACAAGCTAACTCCTGAGTACCTAATTACTGCTCGGTGAACAGGTCATTAGGTGAAAGGAAATGGGCCCAACCATTTCTGTCCCGCCCAGGATTCGAACCCGGAATTTTCAATGTTCAACTAGTTCAACTGCTCTGAAATCATCACAATCTCCACAATCACAATCTTCTGAAATAACTATCATTTGTGTACATCCAAATTTGACATTCTCCAGTTCTTTACATTGGTGATCTACACTATGTTTACACCACTAATATTCTCATCTTGACCTGCCTAATGACCTCACACACACATATAGGCGTATAATAAGTAGCCAAGGGTTACATCCATTACCCTCGTGCACACCTTCTTGGAGTACAAGAGCCACAAGAGTTGGTGGCTTATTAAATAAGCCACCAACTCTTACGCATGTACTCCTCCTCCTCGCATGTAATTATTAAGAAATCAGCAAGGACAAAAGTGGTGGGGTCCGAGTGGTGACGGGCTCCAAGGGGACTCCTGCCGCTGTCTTGGCCTTGTATGAACACACTACTGACTCTCACAACACATTTGGCTTTTATCTCAGACTTTTGCATGGAACATTTTCACTCTTCATCTCCCCCTCCCTCCTGTATAGACAGCCGCGCCATAGCCACCTTAGGTGAATGGCGAGGGTTATGGGACGACAAATACCACCACCAAGTCTAGGATAAAAAGGTACAGGCGTGAACTTGACAAAATCATAGCAAGTTACTCAGATCTGTGTATTATCCCTTCACAAAAATCACACACAAAATTTCAGTAAGCAAAATTAAAAAGGCTCGAAGTTGATAAAAAAAATAATTGAACAGACAACTCTTGTGATTTTATGTGATTACTAGATTCCTTCTAATTAGCCAGCCACAGGAATACTGATTGACTCGAGAGGTATGTTATGTTTAGTACTTACCAGGAGGTATCTCATGCGATTAAATATGAGCGAGACGTTGGTGAGGTAAATCCACATCTCTTGTGGCATCTTTTCACACACTTCTTGGGCAGGGTATTGTATTAACTTTGTCATGCTTTCACTTCTTTTCCTCAAAATACAATCACTTTTCTTCTCATCTCTAGTGTATACATGCACATTGTCCTCCTCTTCGTAACACAAGTCACTGCTAGTAGGATAAGTATGGCCATTCTCCTGTCTATACTCGCCCTCCATACCCTGAAGCATTCTACGTCGAGATGCATCTAAACCCGTGATACGTTTAATACTCGTCGTCTGACTCGCGTCGTGACCTGGGGAAATCCTGGTGACCATGTGTGAGTGCAGCTCCAAGTAGAGTGCCTCAAAATTGTCCATCTCGTGATGCAGGTTCAGCAAGTAGTTAACCTTAGGATCCATATTTATCACTGATAATTGTATGTCTTTTCTCTTATGTGATGTATAACATATTTATTTATACTTTTCAGTGGCAACTTTATCATTGCTTTACATTTCACTACTTCAAAATAGCTGTATACAGTGTCTCAGTATTTTTTCACTTTTAAATACATCCACCGACACTTGCTTAAGTGCCTTCCTAAATTCAGTAAACAATTTACCACACCTTAAGCAGAGCAGCCTGAAGGAAATCTTGTTTTGTATATTATTTCTCTAAAACCTTATTATACATTGTGGTGCTTACTTAAGATAGCACCAGTATTATAACAAAAATTCAAACTATTCAATACTGTACTAATAATCTAATTGAAGCTCACAAGGGATGAAAAACAATCATGAGAACTAAGTTATGCAGACTCAAATAATGGGTCCAGAATATCCTACATCTACGTACAGACATGTCTCCGTGTACCAGGACGACTCCGATTCGTCCACGGAGGTACAGGTATATGCATTGGAACTCAAGAATTTATTGAATTTATTAGGATTTGTGACAGTACCAATTAGTAAACACCTTCACATTGTTACATAATCTCTCTCACGAACAGTGTTACCATTTGCCAAATTGTCCCAAAGATTAACGCTAATCATCTAATATGGTTTGAAATCAACCATGAATCAACATTTGGTAACTTTCTCCCATATATCTCATTACCAACAAATTACTTAACACTATGTTTAATACTGCTGTATATTCTTTTATAAACCGAAAGTAAATCCCAATCAACATACTGTGTATGTGGCAAAAATTAATTTTGTCCTCCTATATATTTTCAATATACGTACAGTCTCGCGAGAGAATGGACCACACAACTGTCTTTTCCCACAAACACTGCCACAGCCCTGGTTACTAGCAGTACCATCTTTCCAGCCACTTCAAACAGTAATCTTCTCATCTCTAAGCATCAAACATACAACAACAGGGCTCGGGTGCAGAACACCGATCTACTCGGTTTTCCTTCTGTTGTCATCTTCATGGGGCGCAGGTGACCGAGCTCTTGGTTTCACACCTGCATCTTTCATCATGGTGGCAGTATGAGGTTACCTGCATCTTTCATCATGGTGGCAGTATGAGGTTACCTGCATCTTTCATCATGGTGGCAGTATGAGGTTACCTGCATCTTTAATCATGGTGGCAGTATGAGGTTACCTGCATCTTTAATCACGGTGGCAGTATGAGGTTACCTGCATCTTTCATCATGGTGGCAGTATGAGGTTACCTGCATCTTTCATCATGGTGGCAGTATGAGGTTACCTGCATCTTTCATCATGGTGGCAGTATGAGGTTACCTGCATCTTTCATCATGGTGGCAGTATGAGGTTACCTGGCACTCTTTTTTTGTATTTTGTTGTCCATTTCATTATTGCCCGTGCCTCCCTCTCTCCCATCACAACTGACTTGACAATGGTTCAGGACGAACCTTCTCATCGTCTCTTCATCTTCTGGTGTGTAGTTTGGTCATCACAGCCTCACCTTAAATATTACTTGTTGACCAGTAAGATGTTGGGTGGGAGTTGTTGACATCCACAAGCCAGGTGAGGTACAAATACAATTTAAAAACGCAACAAAGATTCACAAGTTTCCTTCTTTACATCTCGCTAAAACATTCCCGAGCTTCATAACTCATACCAATACCACCTTGCTATACACAAGTACTGCAAACAATTACCGTATATGAGATTTACAAGTTTTATCAATCAACTCGCCAACTTCTATTTTAACAATACTGTATACTTCAATACGAACCAATATATCAAATATATTATAATATATTAAATATAGTAGTTATACAAATACAAGATATATTACAGTATACTGTAGTACAGTATACAAAATATATATAAAATATATTATAGTATATAAAATTATTTTAGTATACAAAATATATTATAATATGTTAAATATATTTGGAGTCTATAGCACAAAAAAATTACTTTCTGCTCCATTAACACAATCAGATTAACTTAGCAAACAATTTCAGTGGAATGGAGAGATTACTGCAAAAGATTCAACTAAACGAAGAAGGAACACTAGCGGCCATACACCATAAATAGGAAGCACTGTTTAACTTGACACACTACTGCACGTGGTTAACCCAACACTGCCAGGCCTCAGTGTCCACCAGCACAACCTCAGCACTTCTGCCCCGCCCCGCCCCGCCACACGTCACCAAAACACTCCCAATGTGGCCACACAAACTCTCTCGATAAGAAACGCAAAATATTTACCAAACACTTACCGTCTTCTTAATTAAAGCATCAAGTGATACTCTTTATTGTCTTTGCTAAGAGGGTGAGATTACTGCTGTGGATATAATCAATCATGAGGAGCAAACAAGTTTCTGCACCACCCTGTTGGCCACACACTTGTCCTAGAACACCTGAAGCCAACATGTGTAGATTATCAAGCACTGCATAAATCACGCATTTGCAATTAAGAAATTGTTCAAATAGTGTAAGTTTAAACATTTTCTTGCACTTTTAAAATAAAAATAATGAATTTAATAAAAGATTATTATGTTAAAGAACTCACGAGTCAATCTAAAGTAAGGAAACAATAACAACTTGCCAAATGTGACAAGGTTATCCATTCCATAATGAATCTGCCTTAATGTATAGAATGCACTGTATGCCTTCTTCAGCACCTCCATCACAATTTACAAGGGGGCAGTCAAAAATCTCCGCAAGCTGGGTATATGCAGTATTTAGTACTGTACTACTACATATATACAAGTAGTACAGTACTTTTAGCATATAACAAACACGATGGGTTTAATAACAGCCGATCAAGGAAACTATCTTGAGGTTATCTTGAGATGATTTCGGGGCTTTTTTAGTGTCCCCGCGGCCCGGTCCTCGACCAGGCCTCCACCCCCAGGAAGCAGCCCGTGACAGCTGACTAACTCCCAGGTACCTATTTACTGTTAGGTAACAGGGGCATTCAGGGTGAAAGAAACTTTGCCCATTTGTTTCTGCCTCGTGCGGGAATCGAACCCGCGCCACAGAATTACGAGTCCTGCGCGCTATCCACCAGGCTACGAGGCCCCTAAGAATAAGAATACAGTATGAAACTGCAGAAGGCCTACTGGCCCAATCGATACAGCTCCTATTTATACAGTACTGAACCACACCAATTCATATACTGTATTGTATCTCTAACCTTCATGTAAAACAATCCAATAATCTCACATTCATTATGTTACAGTACTTGTAAATTTTCCCATAAATCAAGAGTCTTATTTCCAAATGAGTTTTTCCCCAAGTCTAAATCTAAAGATAAACACATCCAATTTACATCCATAGTTTCGTGTTTTATTTTGTGTTAATATATTTAACACTGCAGTATTTCATCCATATACATACATTAATCATATTATACCTTTCACTTTGCCCTTCTAGAGAATGTAAATAAAGCTTTCTTAATCTTTCTTCGGCCTCTAGAGGTTTGCCCCTTCCACATCAGCAGCAGCAGATGTTAAGCCATTGCTTCATGCCGAGCCTTCCTGTTTGATCAGGGCTCGGGTACAGAACACCGATCTACTCAGTTTTCATTCTGTTGTCATCTTCATGGGGCGCAGGTGACCGAGCTCTTGGTTTCACACCTGCATCTTTCATCATAGTGGCAGTATGAGGTTACCTGCATCTTTCATCATGGTGGCAGTATGAGGTTACCTGCATCTTTCATCATGGTGGCAGTATGAGGTTACCTGCATCTTTCATCATGGTGGCAGTATGAGGTTACCTGCATCTTTCATCATGGTGGCAGTATGAGGTTACCTGCATCGTTCATCATGGTGGCAGTATGAGGTTACCTGCATCTTTCATCATGGTGACAGTATGAGGTTACCTGCATCTTTCATCATGGTGGCAGTATGAGGTTACCTGCATCTTTCATCATGGTGGCAGTATGAGGTTACCTGCATCTTTCATCATGGTGGCAGTATGAGGTTACCTGCATCTTTCATCATGGTGGCAGTATGAGGTTACCTGGCACTCTTTTTTGTAGTTTGTTGTCCATTTCAGGTTTGGTGGTAATGTTGATTTTGTTGATCAGCATCCTTAAACCAAATACTGTCTACTTACTCTTAGTGTTCTACCTTTGCCAAACCACGTTTGTCGGGCTTTAGCACCAATACTTCTTCAGTGTCATTTCATAAGTTGTCTCATGCTTTTTACACATAATGCACAGGCTCCCTGGCCTATGCATTCTCCTCCTGAGCCGTCTTGGTCTCTGGATACGGTGTCGGTTTTTCTTTCATTTCTTCAGTTTTTAGGCACCCCTTCAGTCGGCAATTCCAATTCTCAAGGCTTTGATTTTGTTGGCCCTTGCTTTTGGATATAGGGATGGGGATGCTTTAATCATTAAGGTATACGGATGAGGAAGTTTCAAGCTCTCCTCCAGACGTTAGGGTTGTGTTCTTTTGGCCTTGGTGGGTGACTTTGTTGTCTGTAGCCCTCTTTTTCTGGCAAAGTATGAGATGGTTGGCTTCTGAAGGGGGGTCCCCCTCCCTTAGTCATTGATTCTTAGTTTGTTTGAATATGGGGGTGTATCATGTGTTGCCCAGTTGCAGCTGTTCATTGCTACCTACATGCAACCCGGGCTGCTTTGGGGGACGCATTGTTTCTCTTATGTTATCCACAGTGTCATAAAATACAGTACAGCCTGCTTGTGGTCTGCCCTCAGGCCCTGATGTTTGGGGCTTTGACTGCTATATTGTCTAATATGTATTGGGCCAATATCCAGGCTCCGGGTGTTTTGGAGGTCTAACAGGGTCTTGGCAGCTTGTTATCTGATCAGTGTGTCTGGTCCAAGGAATAGGATTTCAACTTCAATGGTTTGATCTTTGCCCTCCTCCTTCCCTGGCGAGTTCTGTTTTTCTTTTCTGTTTTGTTTTTGTTTTTTTGTTTTTTAGAAATGGGCTGCCATTTGGCCTGTCCATAAAACCAGCATTGAATATACTGTGATGCTTCTTTTTTCGGTAATAGAGAGGGGGTTTTACGGCTTCCTGGATTCTCCCCACCAGGTACACTGGTCATTTCTTAGGCGCCGTACTAATGATTGTCGACATGGGAAACTGACAGCTTCCCACATGGTGCTGTCATCTGGTGAAGGCCAGCCATTACTAAGGTGGGGTGTAACCCAACTACTGGGTGGACCGTTTGCAGAATTGACTCCTGCATTGTTTCTTTACTTTCTGTAAACCTTGCAGTTGTCTAGTTTGCTTTGCTTCCTTTCCGAGGGTTTGTTTTTCAGTGAAGATGATCATGAATCCCCTCCTCTCACCACCTCTGGTCTCCTAGGGCTGATGTGACATATACGAGTAAAGCTATCTCAATGTAGATAGCAAAAGGAAGCCACCGAGGCCCCACAAGAAAGACATTTCATTACATTCAATGCTTTTTTTCAAAATGTAAGCAAATGGCTTTTGTGATTATTGATTCAAATGATTATCCTACAATAAATTTTGAGCAAATTGGCCAATAGTTCGATGCAAGTGAGCCATCTCCCTTTTAAAAATCAGCACTTTATTCAAAACCAACCATTATTACAGTTTATTTATTAAATATGTAATATAAAGATTAATTAAGCTCATCTTTACATTCTTTAAGGACCTTGGCATATACTTTGTCTGGTTCTGGGGACTTGGAGGTTTAACTTTTTATTTATTTAATAGTTTCCTTTGTGATAACCGCTAAATTAATTACCTTCACCTCTTTACCACTCACCTGCTGAAATTAATCATGACTCCAGTATAACATACTATTCTTTACATTCAACACAAAATGTAAATATTAATTACTCACAGTTAAAGCCTAATAATACAAGAACCGAGTACTGAATGCAACATCATTACGTACACTTACCTCTTTAGCAATTCTATCTAAAGCTTCATCTTCCACAGCATACTTCTTGCCCTCACGCCGCCGAGAACCAATATTCCCCGCATTTTCCATCCTGAAACAGCAATTTCAGAGAAAATTACAACAATGGAATATAAAAAGTTTAATAAAAATATTGATTAAGAAATGCCAGAATGGAATGTAACACTTCCGAGTGAATTTCACTGATCCCAAGCCAGAGTTGAATGATCTACCCAAGACAAAATTCACTCATCTAGGCAAGTTCTCTCTAACACAACAAGTAACTTTTCAAATGGCTTTGTCGTGTACCTGGGGAAGGGACGACAGTGGAGAGAGTAATCCAATCTACCAATGAGCAACAGCTCACTAGAAGACAAAGTCATGAAACAAATCACTCAAAAGCCTCCCTACTGTAATTGTACATTGTAATTGAAATTATCAGGATATCCAACTGTTGCTCTCCAAACTGTATTTAGAAACTAGCCAACTAGCTACCTGTTGCGGAGGTGCAACAGGTACTCTGAGAGAGAACTCTATCAACATCAGAGGCCCGAGACTGTTCAACACGCTTCCGCTACACATAAGGGGCATAACTGGCAATCCCCTCACAGTGTTTAAGAGAACTGGATAAGCACCTCCAAAGGATACCTGATCAACCAGGCTGTGACTCATACGTCAGGCTGCGAGCAGCCGCGTCCAACAGCCTGGTTGATCAGTCCAGCAACCAGGAGGCCTGGTCGACGACCGGGCCGTGGGGACGCTAAGCCCCGGAAGCACCTTAAGGTAACCTCAAGGTAACCACCACCCCAACTGCCACCAGATGGCAGCACCTGGGGTGTCAGCTTCTGTGCAGACGGATTCCAACTCCCACACCCACCCTGGGGCCAGCTTTTGGGGGCTGGTCTGTGAGAGCAGGCTCCAACAACGACAGCCACGAGGTCGACCCTGGGGAGTTGGCCTCTATGCAGATAGGTTCCTACAATAGTTGAGGAAGCTAGCAGCCCACACCTGTAGCCCAGGCCACGACAGCATGCTTGGGGCAGACGAGATTAAAAACGTGCCAAGAGGAACAATTGAGGGACCACATCAGAAAGGAATGTTTCATCTCCATGCCCTGTTTATGAGCATGGCTTCCAGTTAATACTTGAGCCAGCCTAGGTACACTAAATTACAGAACAACCCTGTGAAAAGAAGAGCACTTATGAGGTACATGCAGGCAAGGTGAGCTTTTAGAAGTCTGATGGCACTGCATCTAGGCAGAAGAGGTATAACCCAGTTGAAAACCACCTCAGTAGCCACAGACAAACACTGTAAGACTGGAGTAGTATCCACTCCTAGTGAGGAAGAACAAAACTGAGATGAAAACAATTCCTAGGAGAAAAATCATATCTCATCAACCAGATGGAACCTTACCCCTGAAGTCCACTGAAACCAGGGCAAAAAGGGAAAATTGGACATGAAGCTGGCAAAAACCTACTTCACAGAGCAAGCATAAACAGGGCCCTGTTGAAAGTTAAGAGACTGCCCCACAAAAACAAATGATGACAGGGTAGACCGCTTTCAAATTCAGGACTGAAGAACAGCTAATGCTACTGCCATTTCCTAAAAAAAAAAATAGCAAATGATTTGCCAGCCAGGTAGTGGCGGGAATCTGATACCACTACTAAGAAAAAGGATCTGAATCAAAAAGATAAAAGGTACAATCCAGATGGCCAATACCTGCCCCCATAAATTACAAAAAGTCTAACAAAACCAATGAGACCCTGGGAAGGATGGGAGCGTCAGCTTATCCGCATCAAGATTAGCCACACCACAGGAGTAAAAGGTATCAAACTCAAATTAGAACAGAAGGGTACACCAACTAGCCAACATGTGTATAAGTACTATCAAGCCTGGACACCAAGACTGAAGCAGGTTCGGAAGGAACCATGTCATCTCCTCCCTTTACAGAAATAGAAACTGCAGGCTCTGAATCATTTTGGTACTACTATAAAATCAAACCGAAATCCTAGGCAACAACTGGAGCACAACCCAACTAGGCCCCTGACCTTACCTGAGAAAGGAAAAAAGAAAGGGACCCATCCTGTGCAAAGAAAGAGAAAGCTAAGGCTCCCTAAACAAATTCCAAACCACCAGCATCAGCAACAGGATAAGCAGTCTCAAGAACTATCAATCTCCAGATTGAGCTAGCACCAGAGCCACTGGTGCTAGCTTAACTGACTGCCGAGGTCTTGAGGTTATCTTGAGATGATTTCGGGGCTTTAGTGTCCCCGCGGCCCGGTCCTCGACCAGGCCTCCACCCCCAGGAAGCAGCCCGTGACAGCTGACTAACTCCCAGGTACCTATTTACTGCTAGGTAACAGGGGCATTCAGGGTAAAAGAAACTTTGCCTATTTGTTTCTGCCTCGTGCGGGAATCGAACCCGCGCCACAGAATTACGAGTCCTGCGTGCTATCCACCAGGCTACGAGGCCCCTTATTTTAAGGTCATTTAAGGGCTGCAACCAGAAAAGGCTGCTGGGAAGCTGGGTGCCATAAGTGCTTCTTAACAGTGAACAGTGAAGCTACTGGCCAAAAGGATGGGGTGTGTAGACCTGTATTTGTTTTGTGCCTTTGTCTTCACACAAGCACTCACTCAGCCGTGGATTGAGTCAGACTGTCCACCTTCTCCCCTTCCCCATTTATGTGAAACTATCATTTAAAAGGTGTTACTGTTGGGAATCAAGTCGTGTAGAACATGCTGAATAAATAGAATCCTGGATGAATAATCATATAGCAAAGGAGGATCAGGCTCAGAAATACATGACATCTATTCAATTTAATGTCATATAATTCTTCCACATGTATAATAAGATACACAATGCCTTGCTAATATGTATATATACGCAGGCGGTGAGTCACAATAACGTGGCTAAAGTATGTTGGCCAGACCACACATTAGAAGGTGAAGGGACGACGACGTTTCGGTCCGTCCTGGACCATTCTCAAGTTGATTGTGATCGACTTGAGAATAGTCCAGGACAGACCGAAACGTCATCGTCCCTTCACCTTCTAGTGTGTGGTCTGGTCAACATGTATACATACAGTATATATAAACAGCTACTCCAATAGTATTCAATTTATTTTTAAAGCAAATTAGATATTGTATAACCAAATTTAAGCTACAATTTTATGACTTGTTACCTGCTCAATGGATTCATAGTAAAAAAAAAAAATCTTTACTTCAAATTCTTAGAGAAGCAATATCAAGACAACAAAATGTGTACATCACTTAAGACATAACTTGACCCATTTATATCTTCAAGATATCAAATAAACCATAACTTCTGGGTGACAATAAAGATATCACTGACAGTCAACTAGTGACATATCTCCATATTAACAAGACATCTTGTGCACTACCATACTATACTGCACTGAAAAACAAAGAATTTGTGCTGTATACAATTGTTAAAAATATTTATTTCTTTACAACACCTATGATTATTAATTATTTATAAAAGAATGATGATGATGATTTATATTATCACTCACAAACACACACAATTAACATTATACAAGATTTAGTGTATTAAAAAATGTCCACATCTCAACATTAGATTCAAGGTCCAAGTTGGTATATTAATACTAAACCGACACATTACCCAAGAAAATATTACCCGAACATATTACCTGTATCCAATACCCAAACATATGCCTTGTACCCAAAATCCAAACATACTCCCTGTACCCAATATCCAAACATACTCCCTATACCCAATACCCAAACATACTCTCTATACCTAATATCCAAACATGCACCTTGTACCCAATATCTAAACACTCCCCCTGTACCCAATATCCAAACATACTCCCTGTACCCAATACCCAAACATACTCCCTGTTCCCAATACCCAAACATACTCCCTGTTCCCAATATCCAAACATACTCCCTGTTCCCAATACCCAAACATACTCCCTGTTCCCAATACCCAAACATACTCCCTGTTCCCAATACCCAAACATACTCCCTGTTCCCAATACCCAAACATACTCCCTGTACCAAATACCCAAACATACTCCCTGTTCCCAATACCCAAACATACTCCCTGTTCCCAATATCCAAACATACTCCCTGTTCCCAACAAGATACAATACACATCATGTACCAACATTAACAATCATTCCTTAATGATCCCAGCAACATGCACACGCTCATCAAAACAAGGCGAGATAAAACACACACCAGGAAACAAAAGAAAATTTAATATACAGCACCACAATAATGAACAATTAAAGGGGGGGGTGGTCCACATGGCGAGTTCACGATTGTGTACTGGCTACCACAGTTATGTGGTAGACAACTGTGTACTGGCTATCAGACAGTCCATATGGTAGACACATTTGGGTACTGCCAATTACTGGCAGGGTACTGCTATAAGATTTGTACACAACCCAATGTCAGGGGGTTTGTAACACGATAAAAATATACAAGAATTAGCACTCATTTTAATCACAATAGTAAATATAAAAGAATGAACACCAATACAGTATTAGGAACAACAGTCAACATGCAGTCAGGGTCAAATGTGAGTAACTCCTCCTCACCAGTCGGGTACTTTTTTTACTATTGGCATTTTGTCGGAAGAAGAGTAATCTCTGGTGCTGTCGTCACTCTGCAAGGCAAACCATGTTAAGTGCATTAAACACAAAGTAGGTATTTATCATGTTGGAAATCAGTCACTCACATTTGGGCACATGCCAGGGGTCTGTTCACTACTAGAATTATAAGATGAATTAACATAACCTTATTTAACTGATGCATCAAGCCTGAAAAAACATTGGTGATAAACGAAGTGATGTAATTTTGAGATAGGATAAGATGGGGGGTGTCAAACGTGCAGTCCGTCACCCTTCTATATGAAGCCTGCAGCCTACCATTTCATCATAACTAACACAAGTGTTGTAGAAGTACTGCATACTTATTGGTATATTACCGTTTTCACAGGTGTGTCAATTCTTGCATACTTATTGGTATATTACCGTTTTCACAGTTGTGTCAATTCTTGCATACTTATTGGTATATTACCGTTTTCACAGGTGTGTCAATTCTTGCATACTTATTGGTATATTACCGTTTTCACAGTTGTGTCAATTCAAAAAGTGATTTTCTCTAAAAAAATTAATGAACAATGTCATGGATGTTGTAATAAAGCCTGAATTTTATAGGAGCACAGTCTTAATTTTAACTTGTGTTTGGAAGAAAATAAGAACCCTCACGGCCTGCCACATCATACTATTGGGAGCTGTAGTGAAGCACTTAAACCCTCTTACACTATATATGCTACCATTATTTTGTCCATGATTCAGTGCATGGTTCTCAAGAATTTATGAAAAAATAAATAATTTATTTTGATTGTCAAATTTAAGAGGTTATTTTTTTAATTCAATCTCATTTGTTTTCAGATGAATGTATAATCCTTGACTAATAAGATGACATAGGTTAGACACTTAGAGGGGTGCATTATGTATAGCAAATGGTGTCTGAACACTGGTACAGATATCCTGGCCATTTCTGGACTCCAGACATCAAGTACAGTACTGGTACAGTTTCTCCAAATCAATTATAAATGCCACTGTTGCAAGCCAAACACGCTAAACTCTTTGCATACTGGCATCGGACTCTTTGCATAAGCCTCTTTGCCTATTGGCATCAGACCCTAACAGTGTGTGATTCCAAAGGAATGAATCACTGAACATTGGGAGTTTAATCACTAATCTCTGGGTTTGATGCATGGAGACAAAAAATAATAAATAAATATCCCCCAATGTGAAGACGCACTAAAAGGACTGACACGGCGTACTATCATTTCCAATAATATCAGTCCTTAACATTCAATGGATGTGAAGAAATGAGCCACCGAGCATTGAGTAATCTATAGTACCAGTATCCAACACCCCCGGAAGCTCGTCTCCAGTCACCCATTGGGACAAACTTCAGTCAGCTACTGTACGACAAAATACTTGTTTATTACTGTATATAGAAACAAAATTTAAGAAATGTTATTAGTTGATATTAAAGAAAATTATTCCTTTTGAAAAAGCAATAGCTAGTCAAAATTAGAAAATCAATATACAGTACTGCATGGTAAAAAAAAGACAGGAATTATTTTCATTCTGTATTTTTCACCAAATACTTTATACAAAAATAATTTCAGAAAATTTTTGTTGCATTTATGATGATATTCTGTGCTTTGATATTACATTTGGTTTAATATTGAGTTATTTGGACTTTTTATTCCATCATAAAGTGGATTTTTTTGTAGTAATTTTTTTTACTTCCAATTTATTTTTATGAATTTTAAATGGTAGAATGAACATTTTTTTTAATAGAAATGCCATAAAACAGAGAAAAACTAAATCTTGAGCTCCCAAGTTGATGCCACTCAGACGCTCATTAAATTGTAGACACAATCAAAGTGTTAAACTCCATGATGACAACTTATTCCATTCAAAACAAAGTGTACAGCTTCAGGCAACCTGGACCAGACCTTACTCCCACCCCCAGCAGCAGCACCTTGGGGCTCGAGGAGCACCTCCCCCAGACCAGACCTTACTTCCACCCCCAGCAGCAGCAGCAACACCTCGGGGCTCGAGGAGCACCTCCCCCAGGCCAGACCTCACTCCCACCCCCAGCAGCAGCACCTCGGGGCTCGAGGAGCACCTCCCCCGGACCAAACCTCATTCCCGGGCCCCCAGTAGCACCTCCCCGGGGAGCACCTGCCTCTAGTCAGCCCTGGGCCGTGCCCCCAGCTCCACCTGGGGGAGGGGCGTGAAGCCCCCCGCCCCGGGGCACGTCGCCCCCGGGGAGCACCGTGGACACACCTCCTCCCTGGCCGGAGTCAACCACCTCCCGCTGCCTCACACCTGTTATCTCCGCCCGTCACGGCGCGCCATTTACCTGCTGCTTCCCTACACACACAGTCCAGTCAGAGTTGCTCGCATACGAGACCCGAGCGCCAGGACATCCACACACACGACACAGACCACAAGGTTAAAAGTCTTATTTCACATGCGCCTCTGAGCTTCCATGTTGGCTGGTGTCCCGGATGTCCATAACAATGTTCCAATAACGACCCAATTGTCCCCTTAACACCACCCTCACACCCACTAATTTGAACCCGACATTACACACTCTAATGTTTAATATTAAAACTCTGAAGGTCCGTACTTTTCTAGCCCTAATAACTCCATATTTCAATATTTTAAAAGATGAAACTGTACGAGCAGGAGTTGGCGACCTCCTTAATGTTCAGTGGTTGTGAAACATGAGACGAAAAGTGTGAGACAATCCCTGAAGCCTTCGCTCAGGTCTCACGCCGCTGCCACCAGTCTCTAACATGTCTCTCTTCAAGGTTATTTCCAAGTATTAATGATCCCCTTTCTCCATACCACACACCTGCCCTCATAAGCCCGCCATTACTGCGTTCTCCTAACACGTGGTGGATCAGTCCTCCCAGAGTGTGAGTGACGGCATGAGGAAGTGTGAGGGAAATGAGGAACATTTGGCGGGTGTGACTGCATATGGCTGGCTGGTGTGCCAAGAGCTGCCTTAACCTTCTTGAAGATGACACCCATGTTGTGCTACCTGATACTGGCTTCCGCGCGCGCGCACACACACACACACACACTGTGTGTGTGTGTGTGCGTGTGTGGACTCTGGAGTCTGTACACTAGTTGAGTGAGAGTTGAGAGGTGGGACCAAAGAGCCAGAGCTCAACCCCCGCAAGCACAAATAGGTGAATACAGACCAGTTGATTGACAGTTGAGAGGCGGGACCAATGAGCCAGAGCTCATCCCCCGCAAGCGCAACAGTGGGTGAGTACCCAGTGGAGTGTGTGTGCATATCCCTACCCCATTGGAATCAACATATACTGAGGATGGAATGAAGAGAGTCAGTTTTAAGGTAATGTATTCAAACATAGATGGGATTACAAGCAAGGCAAGTGAACTTAGAGAAAGAGCACAAGATGGGAACACGGATGTAATTGGACTCACAGAAACAAAACTCTCAGGAATCATAACAATTGCGGTGTTTTCCCCAGGACTACGCCGTAATACGGAGAGATAGGGGAGGAGGCAGGAGGAGCCCTACTGATAAGAAAGGAATGGAGTTTTGAGGAGATGGTTATCTCAGGCTGCGAGGGGGTTCCAAAGACTACATTACAAGCACCATGAAGATGGCAGGACCAATAGTAGTAGTAGTAGTAGCAGCAGTGATATATAACCCTCCACCAAACGACAGAAGACCCAGGCAAGAGTATGACAACAACAACATGGCAGTCAACACCATAATTGAGAGAGTAGCCACTACTGCCTGTAGAAATAGATCCCATCTGCTTATCATGGGGGACTTCAATCATGGAAGGATAGACTGGGAAAGCAAGGAACCACACGGAGGTGAAGAAACACTGAGAACTAAACTGTTGGAAGTGGTGACAAGAAACATTTTAAGTCAGCATGTCAGGGGAGCCACAAGAATGAGAGGCAACGATGACCCAGCGAAACTCAATCTAGTCTTCACATTGATTGACTCCGACATAAGGAAACTCGGTTTCGAATCGGTTGGGAATGAGCAATCAAAGTGTACCGATGTTTGAGTATCTTTTTTTTTTCTGTGGAAGAGCACCGAAAACAAAAGAATGGCATTCTGAAAGGGAAACTATGAGGAGTTAAGAAAATTCCTAACCGATATAACTTGGGAAACAAAGCTCAGAGGAAAGACGGCCCAAGGCATGATGGACTATGTCACACAGAAGTGTAAGGAGGCAACAGACAAGTTCGTACCAGTTCAAAAGGAGAAAAATTAAATGCAGGTGCGAAACCCATGGTTTAATCAGAGATGTAAGCTAGCAAAACAACTAAATAAAAGGGCGTAGAGAAACTATAGGAATAATAGAACAAGTGAGCAGAGAAAGATACCAGAACGCCAGGAAATGAATACGTCAGGGTGAGAAGAGAGGCAGAAGACAATATGAAAATGACATAGCAAGCAAGGTAAAGACTCAACCTAAATTGCTGCACAGCCACATCAGGAGAAAAACAACAGTGAAGGAACAGGTAATGAAACTGAGGTTAGGAGCAGACAAATTCACTACAAATGATTAGGAAGTGTGCGAAAAACTCAGTAAGAAATTCCAGGAAAAAACGATTCTTCGCGGCAGGGGATCGTATTCCAGGGACCATAGGATTAAGGACTTGCCCGAAACGCTACGCGTACTAGTGGCTGTACAAGAATGTAACAACTCTTGTATATATCTCAAAAAAAAAAAAAAAGTCCCAGAGATAGGAGAGGGAAGATTTAACCTATCACCACTAGTTGAGTGGTGACTAGTTTGTGATTACCAGCGGGGAGGTGAGGAAGCACCTGCTAGAGTTGGAAGTGACAAAGGCTATAGGCCCGGATGGAATCTCACCTTGGATACTAAAGGATCAGAAGCTCATATAACGTTATGAAACTACTGACGGTCTTGGCCTCCACCACCTTCTCACCTAACTTGTTCAAACCGTCTACCACTGTTTGCGAAAGTGAATTTTCTTATATTTCTTCAGCATCTGTGTTTAGTTAGTTTAAATCTATGACTTCTTGTTCTTGAAGTTCCAGGTCTCAGGAAATCGTCCCTATCAATTTTATCAATGTTACTATTTTGTACGTAGTGATCATATCACCTCTTTTTCCTGTCTTCTAGTTTTGGCATATTTAATGCCTATGTGTGTGTGTGTGTGTGCGTGAGTGCGCGCGCTCTTATCAGTAGAGCGCACCAGTTATAAATCTTGGGATATCAGACCTGCAATAGAAGATGGAGTGTGGGATCATATTCGTTTGCCACTTCCACACTCAGGGTGGGAGAACGGGGTGGGTCCTCGCAGCTGAGTGCACAGCTCTCTGGGATCACAGTCTTTAGGGTCTGGGTTCGATTCCCGGTTAATGCAGAAACAAATGGGTAGTTTCTTTCACCTGATGTGCCTGTTCACGTAGCATTATATAGGTACCTGGGTGTTAATTGTTACGGGCTGCATCCTGGGGGTGTGTATAAGAGAAGAATGTTATAGATATGGAAAAGTGTATTCTTGAACACTACTGACCAACCATCACTCACACTACTGACCTACCATCACCCACACTACTGACCAACCATCACTCACACTACTGACCAACCATCACTTACACTACTGACCAACCATCACTCACACTACTGACCTACCATCACTGACCAACCATCACTCACACTACTGACCAACCATCACTCACACTACTGACCAACCATCACTTACACTACTGACCAACCATCACTCACACTACTGACCAACCATCACTTACACTCACTGACCAACCATCACCCACACTACTGACCAACCATCACCCACACTACTGACCAACCATCACCCACACTACTGACCAACCATCACTCACACTACTGACCAACCATCACTCACACTACTGACCAACCATCACTCACACTACTGACCAACCATCACTTACACTACTGACCAACCATCACCCACACTACTGACCAACCATCACCCACACTACTGACCAACCATCACCCACACTACTGACCAACCATCACTTACACTACTGACCAACCATCACCCACACTACTGACCAACCATCACTCACACTACTGACCAACCATCACCCACACTACTGACCAACCATCACCAACCACACTACTGACCAACCATCACCACACTACTGACCAACCATCACTTACACTACTGACCAACCATCACTCACACTACTGACCAACCATCACTCACACTACTGACCAACCATCACTCACACTACTGACCAACCATCACTCACACTACTGACCAACCATCACTCACACTACTGACCAACCATCACCCACACTACTGACCAACCATCACCCACACTACTGACCAACCATCACCACACCAACCATCACCCACACTACTGACCAACCATCACCACACTACTGACCAACCATCACCCACACTACTGACCAACCATCACCACTACACCAACCATCACTCACACTACTGACACACTACTACTGACCAACCATCACTCACACTACTGACCAACCATCACCCACACTACTGACCAACCATCACCCACACTACTGACCAACCATCACCCACACTACTGACCAACCATCACCCACACTACTGACCAACCATCACCCACACTACTGACCAACCATCACTCACACTACTGACCAACCATCACCCACACTACTGACCAACCATCACCCACACTACTGACCAACCATCACTCACACTACTGACCAACCATCACTCACACTACTGACCAACCATCACCCACACTACTGACCAACCATCACCCACACTACTGACCAACCATCACCCACACTACTGACCAACCATCACTCACACTACTGACCAACCATCACTCACACTACTGACCAACCATCACCCACACTACTGACCAACCATCACTTACACTACTGACCAACCATCACTCACACTACTGACCAACCATCACTCACACTACTGACCAACCATCACTCACACTACTGACCAACCATCACTCACACTACTGACCAACCATCACTCACACTACTGACCAACCATCACCCACACTACTGACCCACTGCCAGATTCTATTTGGTTTACTGTTATTCTTTGTGATGTTTATGCAATAACTTTAACATTACCGAACATTTGACCTGTTACCACTGGGATCATCACTCTGGGTCAGTAGAATAATTTTGTCAAGTCTGTGGATACGTCTCCATTCTCGGTTCTCTTTAATACCTGTAAAAAATGCAGTACCTTCCAGCTCTAAATCTGTGATGACTATGGTTGTGTAGTTCCTTTTTAATAGTGTGATATTTGTCCAACGGGTCTATGATTTTTAGGGCATTTGTTACCTATTTGCTGACTTAAGTGATTGCATTCTAATATGTTGCTAGTCTTAAATTTTCTCCATATTAAACTGATCAGCTCTACTAATGGTACTCTCCATTTATTTATAAATGTTTTTTCATTCATCAGGGCTTTGAGGCTCAGGGGCATGGGCATTGTCAGTTTCTTGTTTCATATTTTGCTATGTTTATATTTGAATATTGCATGAATTGTGAACATTATTTGTAAAGAAGCCATCAGGTCTTCAACTTTCATGTTGTATACCAACAGTGCTAAACATAGCTTTGTATTAAATGAACAAATCCACAAGGGGCGTGAAGAGGATTCGAACCTGCGTCTGGGAGCCTCAGACCCAGCTTTGTATTGTTCCTTAAGGATTTCACTCATTTGTCATCCTCATTATGAAGGACATGAAGTGGAAGTGAAGGTGGAGGATACTGTACACATAATGCCTGCACAAGATGAGGACAAATAGTTCCAGTTAACATTTGTTTTACCTTGGAAACCAAGATATCCTTCAGTTTCACGTATAGATATATTTTTCCTCTGTTGTGCATACAGTATTTCAGTAGCAATACAAATATAATGCCAAATACAGTATTACTGCTTATCAAAGTTTAACAGCAACTATTTCATAATTTACAAAAAGAGATAAACACCTTAAAGATCTGCTGTAGGATCTTACACATTTATAAATGATAGAAACAGCTGGTAAAAGAAATGTGTACATTAGACAGCATATCCACAGCAAAGTCATCTTGAGATGATTTCGGGGCTTTTTAGTGTCCCCGCGGCCCGGTCCTCGACCAGGCCTCCACCCCCAGGAAGCAGCCCGTGACAGCTGACTAACACCCAGGTACCTATTTTACTGCTAGGTAACAGGGACATAGGGTGAAAGAAACTCTGCCCATTGTTTCTCGCCGGCGCCTGGGATCGAACCCAGGACCACAGGATCACAAGTCCCGCGTGCTGTCCGCTCGGCTGACTGGCTCATCACTCAAACAACCAGAATACTTTATAACCTTCAGGAAAAAAGAAGCAAAAGCCATACCTGTATAGATATTATTCACAGCTTAGCAATAAATGTTGATACATTGCACAACCAATATAAGTTAAGGAGAGAAGAGCTTGCCAGGAGGTAGATAACGTCTACTGTGAACCTGCATCAGCTTCTCTCATGTTGCTACTTACTATAAACATGAGATCAGTTATTTAGTACACACATTATGCGTCTGGAGGTACACATTACGCACCAATTTGTAAAATACTTTTAATACATTAGTAATATACATAAAATAAACACATACACATTATATATACATGTTTGATAGCAAAACACAATACAGTTCTATGCTGGCTTGGAACAACTATATATACAGTATATTGCAATTAGTAACAGACCCTTATTTTTGTATCTGAACTTACCTTCAGAACTTCATTTAGTCTCTCAACACATCCTACTCCACACATTCTATATCTCTGATTTACTATACATTAATTATAAGTGAATAGCTTGTCGCCTCTTTAATTCAAGTTATATTGCAAAGACTTAAGAGGTATTCGTACAATACATAATGACATGTGATTTATCTGTATCTATGAAGTCAGGAAAAGTTATTGTAACCATTGCACCATCATCCTTCCTAACACTGCCTTCACAACTTCAGGTGGAGTGAGCAATGTTTTCTCAACCTCGTTTTCAGGCTATTTTGCTACTCGCTAGTTTTTCTTACAAATGTCCCCTTCATGCACAAGGACCTCATGCATAATAGAAGATAATTATACCTACAGCACCAGGACTGCCAGATACACCCACCCATTCCACACGAGTATATTGTGAACCTGACTACAAATATGATGTCTACGGAAAATACACAAACATTGAGTTAGTTTTGACCCTGCATGTGACTTTCTGCCAAGTTATACTAACATATTTTTTCTCATAGCTTTAAGGAAACTGAAGCAAGCCATGAGGTTTTAATGTTTAGGAAAGGCATTTTGAATGTTAACACATCAGTTACCTGAGTGAGTGACTGGTGTAACCTATGCTGCTTCAGCTTCCTTAATGCTGCCCTGCCTAATTAAAGCACAAATCTAAGGCACTTCTTTGTACCTTCAAATTCTTAACTAATCCTATGATATTTCAAATATATTCAGTTTATACTATATGTACACTAGTCCTCCAAGGCACTACATGATATAATACTGTACACAATTTAGTATAAATATCCTTTAGTCTTATAAAGTGTATTAAAATAACATTACAAATGAATATGTTAAAATACATATAACCACAAAATGCAACACTAAATGTACCATATTTCAGCAAAACCTTGTTAACATGAACACAGGCAAAATTTGTACTACCGAGACATCATTTGCCATCAGTATCAATTACTGTACCGGAATGTAATTAATTTTTGCAAGAGGTGATTTTGTCTTAGAAGGGAAAAACAAACAAAATAAATAAAATTATAATAAAACTCACCGCAAAAACACCAAGACAAACATCTGAGGAGCTTTGACCTGCAGGTCAGCTAAATATGTATAGTATTAGCTAGTTTGTCCCCCATCACATGATGTGGATAATGAGCTAATTTGCACCTATCGATGATATTAAGGAATTTATTGGAAGATTAGTTGTAATTACCTAATCCATTGTTTCAAATGTAATCCATAACATTCTTTAAGCAGCCCTTGATATACTTGTTCTTACAGAATGCTGCTATAACTGTCAAGAAGACAACATTTCTATTTCAAACAGTACTTTGATATGTATTACAGAATAGGAATTTCTATTAAATTATTACATCAACTTTTTTTTTTTTTGCAAATTCAAGACATGCCTTAGTGGTGTGCTGTGTATGGTACTTAGACACTGCTGATCAAATGCCTCAAATGTCACACTAGGAAAAATACAGTACAGTGTAACTATTTACCATCAACAGATGCTAATATGCCCAAAAAATTATCAAGTTAAATTGGCAGTATTTATTCCTCTACCAACACAACTTATGAAAATAAATAAATCACACTTGTTGAGCTTTCATAAGTTTAACCTAAAAGTTGTCCTTAACATAACAATGCTTTTCGTTAGTTCTTTGCTAAATTGCAATGATAAAACTGGAAGAATTTAAAAGACAAAATGAGAGCGAGATATTTGCTTGTATACAGAAGAATAATTAACTCTGTAATAATGATATTTTCTCCCTGCATAGTGGAAGAATAATACTCCTTTGTAGTAAACAAATAAATTGCACTAAGATCTTTTACATAATTATCAGACATATTTGTCACACTAAATACTTTGAAAACTTGCAGAAGAATTATTCATCCTCATCAAACTCTACGGAATTGAACATATCCATGAGGTTCCTTGAAGTAAGGTTAAAGGAAGGGAGAGGTTCCTCAATCACAGGAATACCTGGGCTTGGCGTGCTCACCATGCTCATGTTTCCGCTTACATCGAGGTGCTGACCAAACACATGTGACGACCTTAGCACAGCTCCTCGCTGCCGAAAGAAAGTTGGACTGTCGTCTGGATTTGGGCTTGCATTAATGCTGCAAGGATATAGGAGTCTCATAATAATAGCACATTTCATAACTTAGCATAATATTCAATACACAGCACAGCATATAGATTTTCATCTCAAAGTCTGATAAGGTAACAAAAGTTGTTGGTTACATTAACAAACTGTGCACTGCATTAGGGCATTAATAAACTGTGCTCGTAGGGATGGGTAGTTAACAAGAAATAAGTTCAGCATAAACAGTAAAATTGTTTACCATATACGTATATAAATGATTCAGACAGAATGGAGTAGTTACTGCTCCATCCATCCATTTGCAAATTTCCTGGTAACACTAAAATAAGGCATGAAATGGATTCAGATGTGGACTCAAAATTGTTAAGAGAATAACTTTGATACTTTTAAAGAAGGCAACAATTTGGTTGATGCAGTTTAATGCTGACAAAAGTAGGATTCTGATCCTAGGAAATTACAAGCGTGTTGCCAAATATTGGCAGAGTGATGGTGAAATTGCCAAAGGTGAGTGTGAGGAAGTGTGTGGAATGTGAATGGATCAATTTTGCTTGAGACAATAAATGAGAATAATTGGTTTGGAACCAGGTTATTGGGCAATATAAATGTTTGAGTAACTTCAAGTGAAAGTTAGACATGTATATGAATTGGCACAGTTTGATATGAACAGGACTTGCTTCTGCCCGAAACGCTTTGCGTAATAGCGGCTTTAGGCATTGTATGTACTAGCTCTATTTATAAATTCATCAATATTTGTATCACACCCTGTATGTATATACTTTACCTGAATAAACATTTGAATTTGAACTTGTGCTAATATACCTTATGTTTATGAATAAGGAAATAAACCCTGCCATCAAGAAGCCTGTGATGACCACAACAATCAGGTAAATCTACAATGCCAATATTGGCAGATTAAACTACAAACTACAAGCAAAGATGATGAACAATGTACTGTACTGTACTGAATTCATAAATCAAAAGGACGCCACCTAACCAACTAATCAACAGTAAGTCACAGAAAGTTTAGGAAATCGGCTAGCTGCACTTTCGAGAATAGATTGCATGCACCTATTAGCAGAAACCTAGCATATATTCTCATCAGAACATTATATAGGAAAATAAAAATATTTAGTTCATGACCAACCCTAAAAGTTTATCTTGTTTAAAAAATATATACAGTAAACAAGTTTCAGATGTATAATTATGCTTTTATAATGTAATACTCATATTGTACCTAAAAAAATGCAGATTTAAAAACAGCCCGACATGCTTAATGCATTTTTCAACAACTTTTTCCTTTACTTAAACTTTGCTATAAAGTGTATATACATCATGTTATCTTGAGGTTATCTTGAGATTATTTCGGGGCTTTAGTGTCCCCGCTGCCCGGTCCTCGACCAGGCCTCCACCCCCAGGAAGCAGCCCGTGACAGCTGACTAACACCCAGGTACCTATTTTACTGCTAGGAAACAGGGGCATAGGGTGAAAGAAACTCTGCCCATTGTTTCTCGCCGGCGCCCGGGATCGAACCCAGGTCCACAGGATCACAAGTCCAGTGTGCTGTCCGCTCGGCCGACCGGCTCCCGATGTTAGGCAATATCATCTTACAATTAGTGTTTGTGGTCTTCCTTTTGTTCTTCCACATAATGTTCTGCCTCGGTTACCGCTCATTATTGTACAACAAACAAGACATACAGAAATCACAATAGTGTGATGCATCAAATGAACAAATCCACAAGGGCCGTGATGAGGGATCGAACCTACGTCCGGGATGATCCCAGACGCGGGGATTTGTTCAAATAACAAAAACTACACGATACAAAAACTTGTGGATATTCACTTACCTACTTCTGTTGGGAGGGGAAGAATTGATGAAATCTGTTTGTCTCCTGAACTGATATACAATTGGTGTTGAGTTACCAAAGGGTCGGTGTGTATTGACATCACTACTAGAGGTCGAGATGTCACTTATTGGCTGTGCCAAACTCTGGTCATCCATGCCTTCATCTAAATAAAAAAAATAAATCAAATTATAAAAATAATTACAGTATTACAAATTAAAAATTTAAGTACTGTATCATTTAACCTTTAAATAGCTGAAATCACCATCTTCGACAACCTTCTGTGCTCGAATAGCCAAATTCAATTTATTCTTGTGAATTATGAATACTTTTTTCCATGTGCACCATGATGTAGAACTTCTAAGGTGAACCATTTAAGCATTTACAGTATTGGGCAATAATACAAGGTAAACAAGTCACGGGAGCGGGAATATTGTGGAATATATTACAATCGGTCCTCCAAATACACACAACGACTGACAAGCTTATACAAAAAATATGGACTGTCGCACTCGTTCCAAAACAATCAACATAATTCTACTGAAATTGCAAATACGAGTTAACCAACAAAACACAGAAATGAAGATGCCTTAACCTAGACCTAACATAAGCAATCCTAGATTTGATACAGTACATACTGTATACATACAACATAAGGCTTAGGATAGTTTAAGAATACTGTAGTTGTTGTTTTTGATTCAATTTGTTTCTATAGGCAACATATACATTTACAACACCATTCTACAAAATGTGGACATTTATATGGATGCTTCACACACTATTTTGAGTACAGGCATACCTCAGAATAAGAGTTTAATCCGTTCCTGGAGACGCCTCGCCTTCCGAAAACTCGCATTCCGAAGTTAATTTCCCCATAAGAAATAAAGGGAAATGAATTAATCCGTTCCTGACTACCCCAAAAACCCCACATCAAACTAAATTTTTATACCTAATTCATCTAAATAAACCTACAAAACTGTGTTCCAGTTATTACTTACCTTGCTGTCGAGTGCTGTAGGCGTATGGAAGATGGTGAGGAGGGGGGAGGAGGAGAGGAGTTACTGTTTGGAAGGGGAGTCCCCTTCCATAATCACATCACATAACCCCATGCCTTGTAACACTATGGATACCACTTCTCTTTCTAAATTTTTCAAACCAGCCCCTGCTTGCCTTAAACTCTTTCTTATCTGCATCACTCGTTGCAGGGGTATTCTTTAGAAGGTCTTCGTGCAACACCCTGGCTTTCTCACAAATAATGGCCTCCGAAACACTATCACCCCTCAACTCCTTGTCGTGTATCCAAATTAATAACAACTTTTCCACTTCTTCAAGTATTTGTGGTCTTTGTGCCGTTAATGTTCTTACTCCTTTTGCCACTTTAGCACCCATAATCTTATTTTTCTTCTTAAGTATAGTGCATATTGTTGATGTGGCTTTGTTGTACTGCCTACAAAGTTCAACAACACGTGTACCGTTCTCATGCTTCCGAATGATCTCTTGTTTCTCCTCTATTGTCATCCTCACATGAGCTTTCTGGCCTTTATCCTTACCACTGGCTTTCTTGGGACCCATGGTGAGATATATAATAACAAATTGTATAGACAAATCACCAAAAATCCAACAAAACACTGAAAATCCGCGAGAAGAATTGATGTGGGGGTAGTCACTGAGCGTGAGACAATAATAAACTGAGGGGCGGCGGGGCGGAGGGGCGACGATCGCCGAACCACCACGCGCTAGGTCGGCTGTACGCGTATCAACAAACTCACGTCCAAACTCGCCTCCCGAAGTAACCATCGCCTTCCGAGACAAATTTTTGGAGTAAATACACCTCGCCTTCCGAAAACCTCGCATACAGGGACAATCGCATTCCGAGGTACCACTGTATATGCCTCTTACTCCCTATAGGGGGGAAGAGGAAGGAGGAAAGGATAAACAGAGGGAATAGAGGGAGGGGGATAGGGGATGGGAGGAAGAGAAGGGAAGGGAACTATCAGGGAAAGCACCAAGCCATTACTACTATATATATCACTGGGTAGGGGTCAGGATAAGGATTTAGGATGGGACGAGGGAAAGGCATGGTGCCCAACCACTTGGACGGTCGAGGATCAAACGCTGATCTGCATGAAGCAAGACCGTAGCTCTACCGTCCTACCCAAGTGGTTGGACTGTAGAGTGATGAAAGAAAAAAAAAAAGGTATCTGCCAGATACCCTTTCTAGGATAACATATAAACACACACTCCCTCACTCTAATCTATAGTATAACAAAATGCTCTGTACTCATAAGATTATATATATTCAAATTTTATATAATGTTAAAACTGACCTTATAACAGTATATCAAATAATTCTGAGCCACACTATAATGAACTACATGGTGGTTAAAATAAAACAAATTAGAAATGGTTTGAATCAATAGCAGTAAGATGATTGTAGGGGTGGGGGGTGGGGGGGGGGGGTGTTAAATGTCAGTCTGCCACAGTACAGAATCTCTCTCTGAATACTATACACCAGGTCTATTAAATGGTGATGCAGCTACTGTCGATTATTTACTGGGGCAGGGATGCTGCTTCTCTATGTGGTCACAATGTATGTAATGTTTGCTGCTCATTAGAAACAATCTTAACTTTGTTCTTCAATGTACAGCTTGCCAATCATCTCTGGTGAAATCTTTCCTACTCTTACAAACATGGAAAACGAGAAGGTGGATTTTTGGATTTAATGGATTTTTCGATGCATTATAAATAGACAAACCCATTAAAGTTTCATTATATATCATCACAGGTGTTACAAGTTAAAATTCAATTCAAAATGGCATCCTCAAGATATACATGTAAAAAATAAAGACAAAGGGTAATGGTATTAAATATATACTCTTTACATTTCCAAAAATGCCTAATTATCTTACCATCGGAGAAGCCAGCAGCAAAGTCGGAATCAGAAATGTTCGCTCTCGATAGATTTGGAAGGTCTGGAGAAGCTTCTGGTTTATGCAGACGTTTGAGAGGCAGCGTTAGGAAATTGATGAATATTACAAAGTATAGCCATGTCTTCATTAAAGTGCTCTTGGCTTTCATAATCTGGAAAAGAAATGTTCTTTCGGTATTTAAATAGATTGTAAAATCACTATCACATATACGTGCCTACACAAACTGTTCTGATAGGGCTACACTGAACCACTCCCTATGCTTAGCAATAACTACTTTTGTGACATCATTAAACTACAACTTTCACTCCTTATATACAGGTGTCTTAAATTAGTATACTGTACTCACCAATTACATACAACACAAAATGTTCAGCACTACTCAAGATTCAGATCGAACCTAACACTCCCACTCATCTCTTCACAAACAGTTTAAGCTGTTGGTCCTCTTGAGAGGTTATCACATATTGAGCAAACTGCTTCTCAACCACCGAAATACATCACACCTTCATTGCAGCAGATTATTGCGTGCTAACGAGCAGAAGTGCTAGTCACATGAACGGTTGCTTGTTTGATACACAGACATCACAGTAACGTGATACTGTATATCAAATGAACAAATCCACAAGAGCCATAATGAGGGTTTGAACCTACGCACGGGATGTTCCCAGATGCGTCTTAGTCAACTGTACCACAACATGGTCAAGAATTGTAACCTGGAGTACTACTGTCCTCATGAGGATCCTGAAGCTTCTCCGAAGCCTAACCAGGGGGGGGGGGGGTTTACACAATTCCCCTATGCACTTGGGCTCAGTCAACCAGATGTTCTACCTCTACTTCAATACACACACAAATCACAATAACATGATATATCAAATGAACAAATCATTTGTGACTTGGTCATTTACTTATTTGGATTCTTTCTAGGAGTTATTTTGATCTTTTGGGATGTAGATTGCACAGGTTCAGGTTAACCAGACAGTGCTCTGTTTTGATTTGCCCGACTTTCTGGGCCTTTCCCTGGTCCATGACAATTATGACACACATTACTTTAAATATAAAGTGCCCATAGGCCATTGCTCCCTGTGCCTCTCTGAGGGAACCAGGTTTTGGCGGGTACCCAGTAGGAATAAGAACTCCTGTGGCTGATGACCCCAAACTAATATAACACATATCAGCCTCATCAGCTTCAGGAAGCTGATGAGGCTCCCTACAGAAAGGCAAAGTTTATGCATTTACTGCATTTTTATGGGGAAATTCGAAAGATATATGACTGGATTTTCAGCACAATTCTTTTATATCAAAAGTATTTGGAGAGTTTAGCATATTTCCTACTCCAGCATTTATTCCTTCTTTACTGGCAATATAGATTTGTACGAGTACTTGCATGCTTCATCACATAAAAATATACAGCAACAAAAATCTTACAGATTTCCGACAATAGTCTTTGATGGTCTTTTGATAGAGAACTTTCTTGATAGTGGGAAGAGCAAGAGCTTGTTGTGCTGTGAGTCTATCCAACGGGTTGGGCTGGAGGAAGCCTGTCAGCACACACTGTAGTTCCTCAGATAATCCTGCAAGTAATGAGAGCCTTTGCTTCATTCCTAATACACAATTATTCCCATGCAGATGAGGAGTCACAATAATGTGGCTGAAATACGTTGACCAAACCGCACACTGAAGCAACGCAAAGCAACAGCAAAGTGAAGCAACGACAACGTTTCGGTCCGTCCTCGACCATTCACAATCAACTTGAGAATGGTCCAGGATGGATCGAAACAACGTCGTCGCTTCACTTTCTAGTGTGTGGTCTGGTCAACACAATTATTCCTACTTACAAGAAAAGATCTTTCATCATATTCATAATATTAAAGCTTACCCCTCATGTTATTTACTAGCTTACCAGTCTCAACATGCTATTTTCTACCCTTACAATAGGGTAGAAATATACACAATAGAATGAACAGGAATAATAAACAAATAACTTTACTGAATAAACACTGATACTATTCTGCAATGACCAATGTAACAAAGTAGACAAGTGACTAATATGGTGATGCTAATTAACAAATATTTTATGTGACTTTATAGTTTGCATCAATAGACTGTGATAAAGGCTGCTCAGTCAAAATGTTCTCCAACACTTTGTTTTATCTCAAGTATTCTATCGTGCACTCTTCTCACACCAGCAGAACCAATTATATTTATACTTGGTACAATCATTTGTATTTCTTTCATCAGTTTCATTCCTCTTACGTTAAAAAAATATCTACAAATAATTTTTTTCCATCAGTCTCCTCAAGACTCCTAATGTCTTTAAAAAACTTATATTTTCTGGAATGTTTCAACTCATTTTTTCTTCCAAGTTTTTCATTAACATCTTGTTCTGCTAAATTAATGATTCTCTTTACTTTACATCCATATCAGTAATCCTCATATTTTTGGTCAACTATTCTTGCCACTTCCTCTCTATCAGTTTGTGCAGCACCACACACCATCTCAGTATTCATTATTCCTAGAGAAAAATAAACATTATTTGAAACCTGCACACAAGAATGAATATTGATCTGTTCATAGTCTTAAGTGCTATACAGGCATTCTGGCTTAGCACCTTCTCCTCACAATTACCTTACCATTCACAGTCTCTTGCGATCACTTGCACAGTAATTCTCCATTTAAACTCTTCAGACAACTCTGCCTTAACTTCTTAACTTTTACTTGTTTACCTTTATGTATCATTGTGAAACTACAACTCAACCATATCTTGCTCATTACTACTATATGATCAGATAAATTCTTATTAATACACTGTATTAAATAAATACTTCAGTACATTTTTTTCCTCAACTACAGTATAGTCAAGCATAGTCACAATCAGGCATTTTTTCTACCCCCTTCCTCACTAGCACAATACCATCTTCACACTAAATTGTTAAGTGAAGACAGCCCCAACTTACGGTTGGCAGCAGGAGGAAGTCTTCCCTGTCTGAGTTGTTGCCAGGCGTCTCCTTGTTTGGGCAAATCTAGATCAGTTGCCAATTCCAGAATTGTCATACCCAGGCTAAATATATCACCAGGAGGTCCAAACTGAAGATTCATGATCTCTGGGGCCAAATATTTTGGGTCACCTTCCACTGCCTCATGTACTGGACCCTAAAGGATGGTACAGTAATAATATAGTCATCGGAAAAGTTACATGATGGGATAACCTATTGGTGAATCTTTTCTAGATACCTTAGCTGCCTTCAAACACTAGCTTTCAAGGAGCACTTGAAAAATATGAAGTCATTTCTTTCATTAAAAACATTGTTTAAATGAAACATGAATTATCCCATGGCATATTATGGTTACACTCATCAAGACTAAGCAAATACACAATAGAACAGGAATAATAACTTTAATGAACAGGTATAATGAGAAAGTAGAAAAATTAACAAAACCACCAAGTGATAATGAACTTAGTGTCAATGTTGGGGGTGCACTCTCTCTCTCTTTGAACACTGCCTAATATTACACATCCAATACTGTATAATTATTATTTTATGTTACACTGGGATAAAGACCTGGGGGACAGGTACTGGAACCAATTACATTATTTTTCAGCACTATGTGCATGTGTATAATTTATTTGGGTGTTTTTTTCAAGTTGTTTATCTGCCTTTTGTGGGATGTCAATGTCAAAGGCTTTCTGAATAGTCAAAGATGAAGTGAAAGCTCCTGAGCAGCAATAAAAATCTCACCTGAGAGGTATCAATCATTAGACCAAAATCGCCAAGCTTGCAGAGACCATCATAACCAAAGAATATGTTTTCGGGTTTAATATCCATGTGAACCAAATTATTGTTGTGCAAATGCTGTACACCCTGAAATAAGAACACAATGATGATACACTGATATTTATTTAACACAAGGAATATATCAATTACTGTACAATGTACAATATTAAAACTAGTTACAATATAACAATATTTAAAACATGTATAAATAATGTGCACATTGATCTATCTGAAAACCCTTTTTACAAAAACTCAAGTATACTAAGGATTACATAACTATGTAATGTAATAGAAATGTAGAATAAGCAGACGAGGAGTCACAATAATGTGGCCGAAATATGTTGACCAAACCCACACTAGAAAGTGAAGGGACGACGACATTTTCGTCTTCACAATGACAATGTTAAGGTGAAAAACTCACGAGATATTCCAGGAGATTTTTAGAACAGTACCGGAGTAGAGACTGAAGAACGGTAACAACATAAGGATAGATACAACAAAGGACAGTATTGGATTCCCAAAGTTGGTGACAAAGCTGGTTTAAGCTTATCACAATCCCCCCATAGGTCCAGTACTAACCTTCCACAAGATGCAGTGCACTACAGCTGCCTAACTCTTGGATATATATATTTACTAGTAGGCTAACAGGGGCACATCAGGCGATGAAAGAAACCATTGCCCAAATCTTTACATCATACTACAGGAACTGAACCCAGGACCCTTTTATTACAACCACACTCTGGTGATGACTACATTACAGATGAGGAAATACACACACTTGATAAAATTAAATGTAAGAAAGGAGCAGTAGAGCCAAACCAATTTTTGCCATTATAAAGATATTTAAGAAGAGGACAAACAGGAACCTTTAAACTAGACCAGTTTCTCTATCAAGAGAAATCTATATACTGTACTGTATATCTATTCTCTACCTATTCCCTGCTAATAGAGTAGATAATTAGGAAGAAAATAGTGGATCTGGAGAAAAAAATTCTTTTGTCTAACACACCATCCTCTTAAGAGAACCAGAGTTGAGCAGTCAGTAGATTCATACAAATGAGTATGCATGATAATTTTACCTTCATTCTGCTGGTTATTGTTAAATGTTCTTTTACATATAGATGTTGTCAAATGCTTGTTCTATTGTATAGAAAAAACTACTGTACGTGACCAACAAAATCTGGGTATGAAACCTTGCTATTGTGATACTATTGGAATTAATACAGTCAATCTATACTAATGTAAAGTATAACTGCTGCCAAAATGCAAATAAACTATCTTTGTTTTGAACAGCAATAGTCATTCTTTATAGCTGCCTTGAGTGTGTCAGAGGAATCAAGTGCCAAAATAAATAAAGCCCGCAGAAAAGTTTAAAAAATTTAAATCTTAAGGTGAATTTTGTGATGAAACTAATTATTTAGCACACTGGTTAGTTGTAAAGCTGATGACCTCCAGTGGCTGTACAAGGAACAATGACCTACTTAATCAATGAGATTTTCATCAAGTTTATCAAATAAATTATAAAATTTTTAATTCACACCAACGATGTTAAAAATGCGCAACCTTTCACTAAAATCCCAGTAAAGCACTCCTTAAAAATAAATATAAATTACCTAATTACTGGATAAAATATTCATACTTATGGCAAATGAACTAACCTGTAATAAGTCGACTAGATATTCCCACACAAGAGATTCTGGGAGGTCATGACGATCTTCTGCAACATTAGCGAGTGACGTCTTGCAAACTTCCGTTAAAAGATAAAGCTGCTGCCGTTCCTCCCAGGCACGATAAAATTCTACACAATTGCGATGCTTTGGTAATTTTTCATGTTTTTGTACTTCTTCCATTCGTCTACGTCTGAAACAAAATACTTCACTGAATGAAGGAAGCTAATCTTGAAAAGCAGCATCTATCATCCATCTTGGCCTCAGTGTAGTTTATATATATATATATATATATATATATATATATATATATATATATATATATATATATATATATATATATATATATATATATATATATATATATATATATATATATATATATATATATATATATATATATATATATATATATATATATATATATATATATATATATATATATATATATATATTAGCTTACATTATTAAAATATTTTATTATAATTTAGAAAGTGGTCAGTTTGCCTTAAATTAATGAAGGTTAGTTTGACTCAGATGCCAAAAGAACTATTTTGTAAATTATTATGAGGCCATATTTCACAGAATAGCTTAACAATACCAAAGGATTTTGGGCACTTATATTGTCAATGGGTCATTCTGAAAAGAAATTGTTATGGCTAATTTTAATTTTGAAACGATGAACTTTGTTCAATCATATTAGCCTACATCTACTTAACACTTATAACATTAGCATTGCCCTTACCTGTCTCCTTCACCACGAAATTTAAGAAGTGTTCTCTTGCAAGCATACAGTTGCCCATCTTCCTTACTTCTAACTCGAAATACTTCTCCAAATGATCCAGCACCCAGTTTTTCCTCAATGATGTAACACTGTTCAAAATACAGTGCAGATTTCTCAGCGCGGTAGACTGGACTCTGAGCAATGAAGGCTGTTGCAGAAAATACCTGAATGAGATTACTGCTTCCAATTCAACTTTGTTTCAAATATATAAATTGAAGTGGTCAATTAGCAAAAATCCATGCTTAAAAACTTAAATATAATAGCTGATATGTAGTGTTTAAGCCGAGATATATGATATTATGACAACAAATTTAGCCTCCCTGCATTACTCACATGTGTCAGAGTCATCACGAAAGGACACAGGTTGAGGACGGTCGTTATCAGTTACTCGTGAAAAAATTCTTGTGACTGGACAGCTCTTTATGGGTGCTCGTGGTGGCTGGGCAAATTTGGGTGTGCCACGAGACTGAAGAAATAAATAAATTTTAAGAAGCAATGATTTATTATTGTTAATTTGCTAGTAATTATAATCTATAATTATACTGGTATTTAAGTACAGTAATTTATATACCTGAAAAAAATGCAAAGATTTTGACTCACACATTATCAATAATATTTTTACTTTTAACCCAACATTAGCACCCTGAAATATTAATCAATTGGCAACATGATAATCCTGAACTTTCTTGTATCATCCTGAATCACTAAGTGGGGTAAGTACCCAAGTTCCAACAATTCTAACCCAGGTCATGCGAGAGAGTAATTTTCTTGCTCTTGGGTTATACAGTCACCCAACAGGAAACACTGTAGGAACATCGAAGGCTGACCAACATATTATTTTGTTAGTTAATGATGCGCTTCCCAAATAACATTCGTGTTTGTTTGTTTTCATCATTTTAATAACTATGTAGCTGTATAAAACTTTGTATGGTAGTGTATGAAAAAATCAAGAGTTTTAGATAGATAGATAATATTAAATAAAATTATATTTGTCTGCAGACTGTTTAGGGTGTAGGAAGGGTGGTTGTTGGGGGACAGTCGTATAGGCTCTGGGTTCGCTCCCATGCCACTCTTTGCACGAACACCAAATGATACAAATTACCAATCTCGCTAAATACAAAACCCCATCCTCAATAGGATTCATCCATGATATTGTTGTCTACATGATAAATAAGAGTTAGCAGCCCCCATAGTTAAAACAAATTTATACCTTGGTGATGCGAACTAATTAATCTATACAAGTACCATAAATGTGTGCACCTGAAAAAAATACTGTAATACATTAAAAACTTTAATTGCTTGTTTTATGTAGTTTATTGATGAAGACATTGCTTAGTGAAAATGGCTACAGTGACTTAAAATGTTTGTTTAGATTTTTGGGAAATTGACCTCAAAGAAAAGTGGATATGACTTTATAGACAGGAAATATGTTTCCTGTCCATAACAGGACAGGGAGCCAGTCGGCCGAATGGACAGCACACTGGACTTGTGATCCTGTGGTCCCGGGTTCGATCCCGGGCGCCGGCGAGAAACAATGAGCAGAGTTTCTGTCACCCTATGCCCCTGTTACCTAGCAGTAAAATAGGTACCTGGGTGTTAGTCAGCTGTCACGGGCTGCTTCCTGGGGGTGGAGACCTGGTCGAGGACCGGGCCGCAGGGACACTAAAGCCCCGAAATCATCTCAAGATAATCAAGGAAAAGTAACATGTCTTAAATTAAAATTGGCATCTTTTGCTAAACTCCCTCAATAAACTAAAGGTTTTTCCATTAGTCAATGCATGCAAATATCATTCTCAAACTTCTCAAATATCATATCATTCGTGTGAATGAATGAATGAATACTAGAAACTGTCTCTGTTGGACTGAATACAAGTTACGTCGTACACAAGACAGGTCGGCAATGGATTTTAAAATCTACTTAACCTTACCCACCTCAATACGGCCTAGTACATTCAGACCTAATGATATATAATCGTGACAAATAGATAACGAGCCTTGTTGAATAGTTTTGTGTACGATTTAATCACCCATTGAGGTCGGGGTATTAGTTTTTTTTTTTATGAAAGAGTTCTTAAAAGTTTGTACAGCCACTAGCATACGTAGCATTTCGGGGCAGGTCCCGAATCCTATAATCCACCAGAATACAACCCTGCCAAATCATTTAACAACCCAGTACCCATTTTACTGTTGGATAAACTTAGGCTACAGTTAAGGATTGACGCCCAGTAAATCCTCCCCAGCCAGGATATGAACTCAGGACAAAGCACTTGCGAAATGCCAGGCGAGTGTTATACCACTGCACCACAGGGACTCCGTGGTTTACCAATACTTTTAGTCAATCATCCTTTGTCTACAACTTATTAAAAAACAAGTCTTTACAATGCAAACACCAATTCGAGAATATAGACTAACAATGATGGCCTTATTATAAATAGACTGACGTACGGCATCATTTTCAAAGAAAATCTGATTGAGGCTTCGAGTAGCCGAGAGGGAGGCGGCCAGGGACGTCACTCTGGCCCTCCCTATCCCTCTATACCACATCTAATTAGTTCTTTACCTTCTTGGTCGACAGTGGTCTTTCCTCTGTAATAAATACCGGTGCTGGGAGATCATATGATAATGAACTGTCAGTTCCACTTATTAAGATCATTTTCGCGGCAAATCACCTTCAAAACAAACATGGTTTGTGAGGTGCGCATGCGCAGCCTCTGATGAAGAGTAACGGACTTATTCACAACAATCATAACAATAACAACTTGGATTAGGTTACAAAATCACATTTACATATAGATTATGAACAAATAGTTTTGTACAAAAATATAAAATAGCAGGCAATAATACAAAAAATTGTACACCTACTCAGTGATAAATGTCATATTGTGATAACAACGGACCTAATTTTTTTAACTACAGCGGGAAATATAAAACCAATTTCAAATAGCTTAGCTTTGAGGTGGCACTGTATTCCTATGTTAGCACCAGACTCTGTCTTGGAAGTTGAGAGAGGCTTGGAGCTGTCGAAGATGTGTCAGGGTGATATCCCAGCCAGATAGGATATATGCAATTGTAATCCATTACTTCATGAATGGCAGAAAGAGTTCAGCAGAAAACTACCGATCTATCAGCCTGACCTCACATATCTGCACGCTCACGGAGAGAATCCTGAAGGAAGGGAATCATTCACCATCTTACAGTGCGCAAACTAGTCAAATCAAGGCAACAAGATTTTGTAAAAAAAAACACATCCTGCCTTACTAACCTCCTCACATTTTTGGAGACGGTATTAGGCTATTCAGACAAAAGACTTTGAATAAATGAACACATAGACTTTGAATAAATAAATACATAGACTTTTCTAAAGCTTCTAATAAGGTACGACATGAAAGACTGGTAGTAAAATTCCAAGCACATGGAAAAAATGGTAAAGTACAAGTATGGATTAAACAATGATTAAAACAAAGAAGGCAAAGGGTCCTCCTAACAGCATTACCTTGCAGCAGATTGTTGAAGAAAAGCACCTTGGTGTCAGAATTTACAATTCACTTAAAGTTGCACAACATATGGGAGCTGCAGTAAAAAAATTTACCAAACCTTAGGAAAAATCAAGCAAACCTTAGACGCCAAGGAAAATAAAGTATTTGTTTTAATTGTATAAATCTCTGGTGCGCCCCCACTTGGATTATTGTGTCCAAGCATGGAGACCTCATCTTCAGAAAGACATAGCTGCTCTGGAGAAAGTTCAACACCGCACAACAAAAAATAATTCCAGAACTAAGTCAACTCCCATATCAGGAACGGTCGAGGGCCAAAGTGCTAACAACGCTACAAACCAGGCATGAAAGGCCGGATCTCATCGAAAATTTTGAATTACTGAATAGTTTGGAGGATGTTGATCCGAACTACGTCTTTAAAACGTCAGATGTAACATAGATACTCCAGTAACATAGATGCTGTGGCTCCAGATACTCCAGTAACATAGATGCTGTGGCTCCAGATACTCCAGTAACATAGATGCTGTGGCTCCAGATACAAGGAGCCGTAGCATCACGCTCAACAAGCAACACTGTAGGACAGAAATACTGGAGTTGCTTTTTAGTCACGGAATCGCCGACCCTCCGAAGCAGTAAATGTCAAAATAGCACTGCAGTTCAAAATCTAGTTAGAACAAATCTTGGGGAACAATTGGGGGGACCCTTGACAAGCCGCCGGCTCCCCTGTCTTCGTCGAGGCCGCTAGAGAGAGTGTGTATGCCTCGTGTAAATTAAGAAAACTTTAATACCTGCCAGAGAGTTTAAAACTGACATCTGTCAAAGTGCTCACTACTCTTGATTACATTCAGGCAAACATTACAGCTTCACTGTCTGTCTAGCTTACTGTCTGTCTGAATGTCTGTCTAAATGTTTATATATCTGAATGTTTGTTTGTGTTTGTCGTTGTGTTTACTGTGTGTCTATGGGTTGGCTGTCTGCCCCGCCATGCGCATCACAACAGTCAGTTACCGTGTGCGGGGTTGCCATGACGACCACCACCAACACATGGCGGACAGGACCTGTTGATGTCTCACATCGATACCGTCAGTGTCCGTCGTCTGCGGGGTAGACAGTGGGTGTCACTCTTCCTCTTGCCGGGTATAAACAAACATCCCCCCTCAATACGCTGCCTTCACTCCTCTTCAGTTATAAACTCCTGAACCGTCAACAAAACGGATGTTTCAAGACATGAAAACCTCTCGGTGAGGCTACTGGCCGGAGCCTCAGGCTACCTGAGGGGAATTGGACTAGCATTCCCCTCAGCTCTGCTATCTTTCTTAATGCTTAGGAGTTTTACTGCGGTTTATAATCCACAATTACGGCCGTAAATACCAAAACTCTTGTAAGTTTTAAAATCTAACTGGAAAGAGAGCATCAAATGGGGGAGGGGGGGAGGGACTTTCGACAAGCCGCCGGCTTTCTGTCCTCGACGAGGCCACTAGGGTTAGTGGCCCTCAGGTAAATCTGGTATGTCATGCGCTAATATGACACAACGAGATATGGTAAGATTTATATGAAGGAACTCAGCCTTCGGCCTGGTCCCACCCCTGGTGTGTGACCCATCGTCCTAGTCCCACCCCTGGTGTGTGACCCATCGTCCTGGTCCCACCCCTTGTGTGTGACCCATCGTCCTGGTCCCACCCCTTGTGTGTGACCCATCGTCCTGGTCCCACCCCTTGTGTGTGAGACCCATCGTCCTGGTCCCACCCCTTGTGTGTGACCCATCGTCCTGGTCCCACCCCTTGTGTGTGACCCATCGTCCTGGACCCACCCCTGGTGTGTGACCCAGCGTCCTGGTTCCACCCCTGGTGTGTGACCCACTCCATAAGCGTGACAGCTGGTAATAGTCCCACTCCTTGTCCCATACGTGACACATAATTAAAGTGTTCAGATAAAGGATGCTATACCAAGTATGTGTAGTGGTGATATAGTGACAGACATAAGATACAACAGCTTCAGCTCCCGTGGATCACAACCCTATTATGGCAGTTTTGATCAATACATGTCTACCTATTAGAAATAAGAAAATATGTGTGACTCTAGATCTTGCTTAACAGTTTAGTAAATAATACACTCAAAGCAATGTTAGAAAGGCGTGGTAAGGAGAGGATGTGGGGCCCACCTTCCATACCCCGAGGGCTGGGGCAGTGACCCGTCTCCCATACCCCGAGGGCTGGGGCAGTGACCCCTTCTTCCATACCCCGAGGGCTGGTGGGGCAGTAGCCGGCATGACGTCAGTAAGGCAGGAGAGAGGCGGGAATATCGGGGAACAAGCCAGATATAGATCACAGAGCCAGCCCGGCCACTCCCGCCAGATGTCCATCACTGGCCGTGTACAAGACGCAGCAGACAACAGTTCAGCAAGCCGCAGGGGCAGGAAGGAGTGGACCATATATGGGGTGAGTGCCAGGAGGCATCACTCCGCTCATCCTAACCCAGAGGTAAGAACTCCCGCATTTATCTACAACTTCCTTGCTATATGAAATTATTATTAAATGGATCACCCGGCTTGACAACATGTACGTGACGTGATCTGATTGGCGAGGGTTCCCACAAGCAGGTATCTATAGTGGGGGAACAGCCGCCAATGTTGACATTTTTTAAATAATTAATATACTTTGATTATGTTTTGAGATTTATGAAAATGTTATACGGTAAAACCTTCCCACAGAGTTATCTGTCCGTGAGGTCGTGTGGGGCGTCGTCGTGTGGGTCTGTGCACGCTGTACAGCCATTCACCCCCGCCTCCCGCATGCGGGGTGCCAGGGTGGGACGCCCACCCAGGCTAGGGGTCTTCCGCCCACGCCCAGCCCCGCCCACCACCTTCAGGAAGATGTATGAACGTGGAGACGTGCCTGTGTCCCTGCACCACGACCACCACGGCCACACACTGCGCTGGAAGGTGGGTCAGCGCCCCCCTCCACACTACCCTGGGTCATGGTGGGTGTTCAAGGTGGGTGCACGCCCCTGAAGGTGGGTGCACGCCCCTGAAGGTGGGTAAAGGTGGGTGCACGTCCCTGAAGGTGGGTAACGGTGAGTGCACGTCCCTGAAGGTGGGTGCACGCCCCTGAAGGTAGGTGCACGCCCCTGTAGGTGGGTGCACGCCCCTGTAGGTGGGTGCACGCCCCTGTAGGTGGGTGCACGCTCCTGTAGGTGGGTGCACGCCCCTGTAGGTGGGTAAAGGTGGGTGCCCGCCCCTGAAGGTGGGTACACGCCCCTGTAGGTGGGTAAAGGTGAGAAAAGTTTGCGGAAGTGAAGTTATTGGGTTAAGTGTTTTGTGCCGCCACCAGGTGGAGGTGGAGAAGCTGGACTATCACCACTACCTGCCGCTCTTCTTCGACGGCCTGAGGGAGGTCGCCCATCCCTATGACTTCTTCAGCAGGGCTGGCATCCGGGACCTGCTGGCCAGGGGAGGAGACAAGATTCTTCCAGTTATTCCTCAACTTATCCTCCCTATCAAGAGTAAGTTGCTGGGGTGAGAGGGGGAGAGACATGCCCCTGTGGGAACGTGTCTCTTTGGTCGCCAGGGACGTTCATGACTGTTGTACCCAGAGGCTGACATTATATACACACACCTGGTGACTGTGTTGTACCCAGAGGCTGACATTACACACACACCTGGTGACTGTGTTGTACCCAGAGGCTGACATTATACACACACACCTGGTGACTGTGTTGTACCCAGAGGTTGGCATTATACACACACCTGGTGACTGTGTTGTACCCAGAGGTTGACATTATACACACACCTGGTGACTGTGTTGTACCCAGAGGTTGGCATTATACACACACCTGGTGACTGTTGTACCCAGAGGTTGGCATTATACACACACCTGGTGACTGTGTTGTACCCAGAGGTTGACATTATACACACACCTGGTGACTGTGTTGTACCCAGAGGTTGACATTATACACACACCTGGTGACTGTGTTGTACCCAGAGGCTGACATTATATACACACACCTGGTGACTGTGTTGTACCCAGAGGCTGACATTATATACACACACCTGGTGACTGTGTTGTACCCAGAGGCTGACATTATATACACACACCTGGTGACTGTGTTGTACCCAGAGGCTGACATTACACACACACCTGGTGACTGTGTTGTACCCAGAGGCTGACATTATACACACACACCTGGTGACTGTGTTGTACCCAGAGGTTGGCATTATACACACACTTGGTGACTGTGTTGTACCCAGAGGTTGACATTATACACACACCTGGTGACTGTGTTGTACCAAGAGGTTGGCATTATACACACACCTGGTGACTGTTGTACCCAGAGGTTGGCATTATACACACACCTGGTGACTGTGTTGTACCCAGAGGTTGACATTATACACACACCTGGTGACTGTGTTGTACCCAGAGGTTGACATTATACACACACCTGGTGACTGTGTTGTACCCAGAGGCTGACATTACACACACACCTGGTGACTGTGTTGTACCCAGAGGCTGACATTATACACACACACCTGGTGACTGTGTTGTACCCAGAGGTTGGCATTATACACACACCTGGTGACTGTGTTGTACCCAGAGGTTGACATTATACACACACCTGGTGACTGTGTTGTACCCAGAGGTTGACATTATACACACACCTGGTGACTGTTGTACCCAGAGGTTGGCATTATACACACACCTGGTGACTGTGTTGTACCCAGAGGTTGACATTATACACACACCTGGTGACTGTTGTACCCAGAGGCTAACATTATACACACACCTGGTGACTGTTGTACCCAGAGGTTGACATTATACACACACCTGGTGACTGTTGTACCCAGAGGCTAACATTATACACACACCTGGTGACTGTGTTGTACCCAGAGGCTGACATTATACACACACCTGGTGACTGTGTTGTACCCAGAGGCTGACATTATACACACACCTGGTGACTGTGTTGTACCCAGAGGCTAACATTATACACACACCTGGTGACTGTTGTACCCAGAGGTTGACATTATACACACACCTGGTGACTGTTGTACCCAGAGGCTAACATTATACACACACCTGGTGACTGTGTTGTACCCAGAGGCTGACATTATACACACACCTGGTGACTGTGTTGTACCCAGAGGCTGACATTATACACACACCTGGTGACTGTGTTGTACCCAGAGGCTAACATTATACACACACCTGGTGACTGTTGTACCCAGAGGCTGACATTATACACACACCTGGTGACTGTTGTACCCAGAGGCTGACATTATACACACACCTGGTGACTGTTGTACCCAGAGGTTGACATTATACACACACCTGGTGACTGTTGTACCCAGAGGCTGACATTATACACACACCTGGTGACTGTTGTACCCAGAGGCTGACATTATACACACACCTGGTGACTGTTGTACCCAGAGGCTGACATTATACACACACCTGGTGACTGTTGTACCCAGAGGCTGACATTATACACACACCTGGTGACTGTTGTACCCAGAGGTTGACATTATACACACACCTGGTGACTGTTGTACCCAGAGGCTGACATTATACACACACCTGGTGACTGTTGTACCCAGAGGCTGACATTATACACACACCTGGTGACTGTTGTACCCAGAGGCTGACATTATACACACACCTGGTGACTGTTGTACCCAGAGGTTGACATTATACACACACCTGGTGACTGTTGTACCCAGAGGCTGACATTATACACACACCTGGTGACTGTTGTACCCAGAGGCTGACATTATACACACACCTGGTGACTGTTGTACCCAGAGGCTGACATTATACACACACCTGGTGACTGTTGTACCCAGAGGCTGACATTATACACACACCTGGTGACTGTTGTACCCAGAGGTTGACATTATACACACACCTGGTGACTGTTGTACCCAGAGGCTGACATTATACACACACCTGGTGACTGTTGTACCCAGAGGCTGACATTATACACACACCTGGTGACTGTTGTACCCAGAGGCTGACATTATACACACACCTGGTGACTTATCTATAGTAATGACTATCTGGAAGTTGATGAATTACTGACCCCGCCCAGGATGCAACCCCACAACAAGCTGACTGACTCCTGGGTACCTACTCACTGCTAGGTAAACAGAAGCATTAGGTAAAATGAAATATGCCCAATCATTTCTATCCCGCCCGGGATTCGAACTCGGAATTCTCGATTGTGCGCCGAGAACGAACCCTACTGTGCTACCGGGACCCCTTAATATCAACCTATGAATGGGCCAAAGAATGGGCCGGAAGGTCCCAGAGTACAAAAAATGGTTCACGCCCAAACAAAGTAGCTACTATCTGAAACAAAGAAATATTTGTTGATTTGTCGACAGGTTTTATGCATATTATTAATTCATTATTCACTACTGTGTCTGTCAATCTCCCCTGCACTCCAAGTCACCTACTTTTATTATATTTCCATAAGTTGCCGTTAAATACGTACCCTTGCAAAAAGTAAAGTAAAAGCGGGTGTTTTTGGACAGTTTTAGCAGTAATATTCCAGAAACTTGCAGCCATTTGTGAAGCAAAACAACACCAACCTTATGATAACATCCGCCAGTCATCCTGTGTACTCTTCCACTATGTCAGATTTACCCTTCTTCTTTAATGTATTTACTTCCTGTAAACCGGACCCCTCACCTCTCCTTCCCCTCTCCCCCCCCCCCTGGACCCCTCACGCCCTCCTCTCTCTCTCTCTCTCTAAGACAGTGTTAGAGAGAGTGTATTATCACGACAGTGATAATAAATGAACTAAACCATATCTACCGGTATTACCACCTGGGTTCACTTAATAATAATAATAATAATAATAATAATAATAATAATAATAATAATAATAATAATAATAATAATAATAATAATAATAATAATAATAATAATAATTTTATTTACAAGAAGGTACGATGGGTTTGTGAGATTACATAAAATTGATATTTTTACATTCTTCCAAAACCTCTAACACGCACAGCGTTGTGGGCAGGTCGATCCTGTCCGAAACTTGAGAGGAATACCTTGAGAGGAATAAATACGTAGAGCTGGGAATAAATACCTAGAGCTGGGAATAATTCCCAGCTCTAGGTAAATACCTAGAGCTGGGGAATAAACTGGACTAGGCTAGCTAGGCTTGGCTCTTACCAGTAGGCCGGTGTGTCCCCTCCACAGGCGCACTCAACACAAGGGACGTGCGGGTGATCTGTACAGTGCTGAAGGTGCTCCAGGAGCTGGTCCTGTCGGCGCCTCTGGTGGGAGAATCCCTCGTGCCCTACTACAGGCAGATCCTTCCCACTCTTAACCTCTTCAAACACAAGAATGGTACGTACCTTAACTCACAAATAAATTGCATCTGCCAATCTTTGGTCATTTCGCAAGCCTCTGTAGATAGGCTTTTAGCGATTTTGTCTTTATCTGAATTTATTTCCAGTCCTGTTTTTGTATCGTTAGCAGATTTGTAAATGTTACTGTATATATGTATTATATTATTTCAAGTTTAAAAGATTCATGTACTGATTAGTATCGATCTCCTCAGTAAATTCTGGAGACGAAATCGACTACTCCCAGCAGCGCCGGGAGAACCTGGGAGACCTAATTCAGGAGACGCTGGAGATCCTGGAGAGACATGGAGGACGCGACGCTTACATTAACATCAAGTATATGGTCCCGACCTACCAGTCCTGCGTCATGAACTGACGGGCGCCATGGCCCTAGTACTGCCCTCTAGTTGAGTGTAGGGACTGGTCCTAACACCTGAACCCTAGTACTGTCGTCTAGTTGAGTGTAGGTACTGGTCCTAACACCACAGCCCTAGTACTGCCCTCTTGTTGAGTATAGGTACTGGCCCTAACACCTGAGCCCTAGTACTGTCGTCTAGTTGAGTGTAGGTACTGGTCCTAACACCACAGCCCTAGTACTGCCCTCAAATTGAGTGTAGGTACTGGTCCTAACACCTGAGCCCTAGTACTGCCCTCAAATTGAGTGTAGGTACTGGTCCTAACACCACAGCCCTAGTACTGCCCTCTAGTTGAGTGTAGGTACTGGTCCTAACACCTGAGCCCTAGTACTGCCCTCAAATTGAGTGTAGGTACTGGTCCTAACACCACAGCCCTAGTACTGCCCTCTAGTTGAGTGTAGGTACTGGTCCTAACACCACAGCCCTAGTACTGCCCTCTAGTTGAGTGTAGGTACTGGTCCTAACACCACAGCCCTAGTACTGCCCTCTAGTTGAGTGTAGGTACTGGTCCTAACACCTGAGCCCTAGTACTGCCCTCAAATTGAGTGTAGGTACTGGTCCTAACACCACAGCCCTAGTACTGCCCTCTAGTTGAGTGTAGGTACTGGTCCTAACACCTGAGCCCTAGTACTGCCCTCAAATTGAGTGTAGGTACTGGTCCTAACACCTGAGCCCTAGTACTGCCCTCAAATTGAGTGTAGGTACTGGTCCTAACACCTGAGCCCTAGTACTGCCCTCAAATTGAGTGTAGGTACTGGTCCTAACACCTGAGCCCTAGTACTGCCCTCAAATTGAGTGTAGGTACTGGTCCTAACACCTGAGCCCTAGTACTGCCCTCAAATTGAGTGTAGGTACTGGTCCTAACACCTGAGCCCTAGTACTGCCCTCATGCTGGGCACACATTGAGACGGTTCTCTGGCCGCTACCCCACATATTGACCAGTGTGTATATAATACGAGCAGAAGCTAAGGCTCCGTGGAAGAGGGAAGATCTTGACAAGTTAACATGGTGATACTATAAGTTGGTCATGAAGACGACTTAGGGGCGACCACAACACAGTGGAACACCAAGGTAGCCTAGCTCCTGAGTGTACAGTGGAACACCAAGATAGCCTAGCTCCTGAGTGTATAGTGGAACACCAAGGTAGCCTAGCTCCTGAGTGTACAGTGGAACACCAAGGTAGCCTAGCTCCTGAGTGTACAGTGGAACACCAAGGTAGCCTAGCTCCTGAGTGTACAGTGGAACACCAAGGTAGCCTAGCTCCTGAGTGTACAGTGGAACACCAAGATAGCCTAGCTCCTGAGTGTACAGTGGAACACCAAGATAGCCTAGCTCCTGAGTGTACAGTGGAACACCAAGATAGCCTAGCTCCTGAGTGTACAGTGGAACACCAAGGTAGCCTAGCTCCTGAGTGTAGCCTGAATGTTGATCATCGTCCTTGGGGTTATCAACTATGACGTTCCTCTCAATCACTAATACGGAAACGCATAACAATGGTCTAGTATGATGGAGTAACCACAGTTGTGAAAGTAACAATGTAGTTGCAACTTTGGAATGGTTTCGAATATTAATATAGATTACCTCATTTATGTTACATTAGTAATTTCTAAAATGACAAAGAATCAGGAATACTAGAAGAATTCGTCACGGTTGCTCGTGTATAGTAGATCATTTCACAACTGTTGTGAAAATACAGTTTTGATTAAAGTCAAGAATCGCAGTAGAAGTAACCAGTATATAGATTCACAGCAGGTATGTGCATTGGACTCTAGCAACTAGTTTTTAGTTTAGTTAATTTATTATGCACTCCATACCCATCCTCTGAGTCGTAATACCCCCCCATACGTTTAATGTGATTGGTAATGGCTCCATACCCATCCTGTGAGTGATAATGCCCACATACCCATGCTGTGAGTGATAATGCCCACATACCACATATCCGGTGAGTGATAATGTCCCATACCCATCCTGTGAGTGATAATGCCCACATACTCATGCTGTGAGTGATAATGCCCACATACCACATATCCGGTGAGTGATAATGTCCCATACCCATCCTGTGAGTGATAATGCCCACATACCCATGCGGTGAGTGGTAATAGAAAATGATACCGAGATAACATAATGGGCTCAGAATTGAACGCCAAACTGTGTTTAGCTAAGCACATTACACCGTCTATGAGATACATAGTTAAAATATAAACAAATCAAGTCTCTTCACAGTTTATTAAGGTAACGTCACCCTAACTCCAACAGGCCTTAACACAGACTGAGTTTGTTACTTGGTTTAATTGACCTATATATATGGGTGCCATACCCCTCCTCTGGGTGTGTGACAGGAAGGTTACTCTCACACAGTTTAAGTACTGGACTGTATGATCTTCAAGCTAAACCATCTACATATGCCGTCAGCCAGTTACAAACAATTGTAATTTCCCTATCATGCACCCCACACTTATTCAATGCATGGCGGCGGAAAGGTTACAGGAAAGGCGCCTGTGTATATCGGCCGCCTTTTGATGTGGCCGACTAGGTTTCTAGTGTGGCAGAATGCAATTATTTAGCAATACCCTATACTTATATTTTTAGTATATCTGTATTATTTTGGTTTGGGGAAGAGGGGGGATATTTAAATCATGGTGAGGGTGGAACCACAACCATAGACCTAGTGAGATGGGGGAGCTAGCTGTCTTCCCATGTTACGAAGATGTTTGTGAATGAGTTCAATATGCACTGCAAACCGTTGGGAACATAACAATACTGAAATTAGTTTAAATTGAATCATTAACTAGCGTGGTCCAGTAGGCGGGAGTCACGCTTAGAACCACACAACGGTCACAATAATTCTGACATTTTTGTTGTTTCAGTAACGTGTATAGATATGTGTATTTTGTTGTTGTTAAGATAAATTTGTTAGTAAAGGAATGTTTGGCTAGCTTTTGCATATTGTTGTAAATTGTTAAAAATGTAGTTAAGAATTTACCTTAAAACTGACATTAAGAAATCCGTCCTCAGACCAAGTCCATTCCATCCAGCGGTCAACCCCAAAGACGCATTCAACAATTTTAACTTGCTGTTCATTAAAAATAGTATTTTTTTCAAATATAAATTAATATTGTTCTATATAAGCAGACTGCATATTTAGGCACTGGTTAGGTTAGGTGTTTAGGTTCCGTTGGCTATTATTTGTATTTGTAGTACGTGGGTGAAGCATTTACAGCGTTGAGGTTCGAACAAAATTCGTCAGTGAAGCACTTGTTCCGGAAGTGTTCGGACGTCATCAGTTGTGAGTCGTGTGTAAACCGTTTTTCATGCATAAACAGGGGGTTTGGCGGGTGTATGGAATGGACTTTGGCCTTTCTTTATAAGGACGGGCTGCATTAAGACAGTAGCACATATATTCTTCCCGCGTTTTCTTAAATATTACATACATACATAACCCAACTTCTCTGCAACTTATATAAGTACATTAATTAAATTTATACACGCTCTTGAAGACATGTTCGAATTCTCGCATTCGATCCCATACTTAATCTCTCTCTCCTTCCCTCCCTTTTCCCCTCCCTCTCATTCCATCATTCTCCATCCCATTCTTCCTCTCATTATCCCTTAACACAGCGGTACAAAATATGTTTATTTATTTTGAAACACTAAGTTAGGCCTCCCTCTAACCCTATTTCTTAGCACATTGCGACCACAGGTTGACGTCAACCCAGGTTTGGTAACGCGGATCAACACACATCCCTAGCACCAGCCATGCTAGGATAACACATCCCCAGCCGTGCTAGGATAACACATCCCTAGCACCAGCCATGCTGGGATAACACATCCCCAGCCGTGATACCTTGGATAATACATAAATTCTCTCCTCCCGCTCGACCTCTGCTCTATCTTCTCTTCCTCCACGTTTGCCTCATCTTTTCTCTTCCTCCTGTATACTTCTCACATTTCTTCTGATAAATATTTATCTCCTATTATCCGGAACCTTAACTCTCCTTCTACCGTTAACAACCACTGTAGCCTAAAGTAATTTTATAACAAGCCTAGTACCTGGACACCATCTTTATATCAATACTTATAACATTGTTGTTGTTGTTTAAGATTCGCTACCTGGAACAAAAAGTTCCAAGTAGCACGGGCTATGGTGAGCCCGTAGTGGACTTCTTTTTCTACTTATAACAGCTTTTATTTGTACCATTATACACCCTACGCCATATCGACACATTATATGTATATTTTTAAGCACTGAGACGTGCTATATGATCTTATTATACAATATGTTATCTTTTTTATGATGCTGATGGATTAAATATATGTTATTAGGATTTTGTTATAGTTTTCCTCTCTACTGATGATTGATTGATAAAGATTAAGCCACCCAAGAAGCTGCACGAGCATGAATAGCCCGTAATCCTCTCTATTAATAAGAAGGTTGTTGCAGAAGCTCCAGTATATATTAGTAGTCGACTCTCATACCAGAAACGGTTGAGAGCCACAGGGTTAACAACACTGCAAACCACACATGAATATGAAGCATGCAGTGTCGTTAGTGTCCCAAATTCTTACACACTATGCATTAAGAGAATTTCCTGCTGACCAACCATACATTCCAGAAAAAAGTCATGGAAACTGGCGTAGTAGAGAAAGGCCAGGATGTCCTTATATCCTGTCAAGTTATTCCCCTTCAACACACACTGGGATGTATGTAATGCTGCTCTTATACCGACTCCATTCCTGGGTTTGTTAGCCTCATCAAATCCAGTTTGAAATCCCTTGATTAAGAACCAACTACAAAAACTCCGACTTGTTCAAGAGTCGCTAGGGAAACCATATGAAAAATTCTGTTCCTCTTTGATAAATTTGCCTGAGGGCTGCCATCTCTAGTGGCCTAGACGACAGACAACGGTTGTCATAGGTTCATAAATTAGTCCTGTGGATCATTTCCTTTCGTTACAATTTAAGATAGTATACCCTTTTGGCATTTGTGACTGGCAGATAAGTGATTCCAAGTCCTCAGACCAAATTCATTACCATGAGAAGCCACACTCCTCCCTTCACCCCCTCAAACTTCCTGGATAGTTATCTAGATATTTGTGATTGTCTGGAAGTATGTTACGGTTCCAGTAATAGTTTTTGTGTAAACTGGGAAGTGAACCTTTGTCCTAAACAGATATTATTCTTAAGTTTAACTTTATTGTTTAACTAACTTTATTGTATTATAAATCGTTGGTTTAAAATTTAAAAAGCGTATGAATAAAATGCTTTCTTTATTCTGTTATAAATCGTTGGTTTAAAATTTAAAAAGCGCATGTTGAAAATGTTTTTTTTGCAAAAATTGGTTTCTGGAAACGGAATGCTTTGGTACACTGAAATAGTTTTCGAATTCCATATTTCACATTATCGTCAACACACTGTATTAAGGTAACCAAATGTAATGAAACCTAACCTAATCAAACCTTAACCTAAAGTAACTTTAACCTAACCTAACCATGGATAGAGAGTAGATAATAGCACTAATTATGTAGTTCTCAATCCATTACCATCAGTATATTTCCTCCCCTGAGGACGAGTAGTTTCCGTATGCAAATATGTATTTTATGTCTCCAATTGTGGCGTCCAAAGCAGTCTCATTCTCCGCCAGAAAAAGAAGGAGACGGCTACAACCGAACAAACCAACTACCATAACCAAACGAGCAGAAACCCCTGCGCCGGAGGAGAGCATGAAGCTCCCCGACCCGACACCCAGAGGCCAATGCCAACAGGAAAAGTAAATACACTCAGTTTGTTCCCTGGTCGATTATGCAGCACCTTCCCGTGCTCGCTTTTTCTCCTGGCCTCCTCAGTGTCTTGCTTTAATGCCAGCAAGAAGAACTGATACCATGTTAACTCCTCCCTCAGGTTGGGTTCTGAAGAATAAAACTTGACATTGAGGCGGAAGGAGTAAGTGGAGGGATCAATTTTAACTTCTTTTTTATGGGTTTTCGTTGGGTTCAACCAGTGAGGGACATGGTTGGCGTTGGGTCCAACCAGTGAGGGACATGGTTGGTATTGGGTCCAACCAGTGGGGGACATGGTTGGCGTTGGGTCCAACCAGTGAGGGACATGGTTGGTGTTGGGTCCAACCAGTGAGGGACATGGTTGGTGTTGGGTCCAACCAGTGAGGGACATGGTTGGTGTTGGGTCCAACCAGTGAGGGACATAGTTGGTGTTGGGTCCAACCAGTGGGGGACATAGTTGGTGTTGGGTCCAACCAATGAGGGACATGGTTTTCGTTGGGTTCAACCAGTGAGGGACATGGTTGGTGTTGGGGCCAACCAGTGAGGGACATGGTTGTTGTTGGGTCCAACCAGTGAGGGACATAGTTGGTGTTGGGTCCAACCAGTGGGGGACATAGTTGGTGTTGGGTCCAACCAGTGGGGGACATGGTTGGCGTTGGGTCCAACCAGTGAGGGACATGGTTGGCGTTGGGTCCAACTAGTGGAGGACATGGTTGGTGTTGGGTCCAACCAGTGAGGGACATGGTTGGTGTTGGGTCCAACCAGTGAGGGACATGGTTGGCGTTGGGTCCAACCAGTGAGGGACATGGTTGGCGTTGGGTCCAACTAGTGGAGGACATGGTTGGTGTTGGGTCCAACCAGTGAGGGACATGGTTGGTGTTGGGTCCAACCAGTGAGGGACATAGTTGGTGTTGGGTCCAACCAGTGGGGGACATGGTTGGCGTTGGGTCCAACCAGTGAGGGACATGGTTGGCGTTGGGTCCAACCAGTGAGGGACATGGTTGGCGTTGGGTCCAACTAGTGGAGGACATGGTTGGTGTTGGGTCCAACCAATGAGGGACATGGTTGGCGTTGGGTCCAACCAGTGAGGGACATGGTTGGTGTTGGGTCCAACCAGTGGGGGACATGGTTGGCGTTGGGTCCAACCAGTGAGGGACATGGTTGGCGTTGGGTCCAAGCAGTGAGGGACATGGTTGGCGTTGGGTCCAACCAGTGAGGGACATGGTTGGTGTTGGGTCCAACCAGTGAGGGACATGGTTGGCGTTGGGTCCAACCAGTGAGGGACATGGTTGGCGTTGGATCCAACCAGTGAGGGACATGGTTGGCGTTGGGTCCAACCAGTGAGGGACATGGTTGGCGTTGGATCCAACCAGTGAGGGACATGGTTGGCGTTGGATCCAACCAGTGAGGGACATGGTTGGCGTTGGATCCAACCAGTGAGGGACATGGTTGGCGTTGGATCCAACCAGTGAGGGACATGGTTGGCGTAGGATCCAACCAGTGAGGGACATGGTTGGCGTTGGATCCAACCAGTGAGGGACATGGTTGGCGTTGGGTCCAACCAGTGAGGGACATGGTTGGCGTTGGGTCCAACCAGTGAGGGACATGGTTGGCGTTGGGTCCAACTAGTGGAGGACATGGTTGGTGTTGGGTCCAACCAATGAGGGACATGGTTGGCGTTGGGTCCAACCAGTGAGGGACATGGTTGGTGTTGGGTCCAACCAGTGGGGGACATGGTTGGCGTTGGGTCCAACCAGTGAGGGACATGGTTGTGAGGGACATGGTTGGCGTTGGATCCAACCAGTGAGGGACATGGTTGGCGTTGGATCCAACCAGTGAGGGACATGGTTGGCGTTGGATCCAACCAGTGAGGGACATGGTTGGCGTTGGATCCAAACAGTGAGGGACATGGTTGGCGTTGGATCCAACCAGTGAGGGACATGGTTGGCGTTGGATCCAACCAGTGAGGGACATGGTTGGCGTTGGATCCAACCAGTGAGGGACATGGTTGGCGTTGGATCCAACCAGTGAGGGACATGGTTGGCGTTGGATCCAACCAGTGAGGGACATGGTTGGCGTTGGATCCAACCAGTGAGGGACATGGTTGGCGTTGGATCCAACCAGTGAGGGACATGGTTGGCGTTGGATCCAACCAGTGAGGGACATGGTTGGCGTTGGATCCAACCAGTGAGGGACATGGTTGGCGTTGGATCCAACCAGTGAGGGACATGGTTGGCGTTGGATCCAACCAGTGAGGGACATGGTTGGCGTTGGGTCCAACCAGTGAGGGACATGGTTGGCGTTGGGTCCAACCAGTCCAACCAGTGAGGGACATGGTTGGCGTTGGGTCCAACCAGTGAGGGACATGGTTGGCGTTGGGTCCAACCAGTGAGGGACATGGTTGGCGTTGGGTCCAACCAGTGAGGGACATGGTTGGCGTTGGGTCCAACCAGTGAGGGACATGGTTGGCGTTGGGTCCAACCAGTGAGGGACATGGTTGGCGTTGGGTCCAACCAGTGAGGGACATGGTTGGCGTTGGGTCCAACCAGTGAGGGACATGGTTGGCGTTGGGTCCAACCAGTGAGGGACATGGTTGGCGTTGGGTCCAACCAGTGAGGGACATGGTTGGCGTTGGGTCCAACCAGTGAGGGACATGGTTGGCGTTGGGTCCAACCAGTGGGGAACATGGTTGCGTCGGTATACTGCAGACCAAAGTAGTCTTCGATAATGTAAAGGGAGTACACCACCCGCTCAAACACCTCCTGCCCCAGAGACTTTTTCGGTATGCAGGAGAGATCAGTTTCGTCGAGGAGTACGACCTTGCAAGGAAGAATATGCCTGACTTTCGGTGTGACTGAAGATCGCCCATCGTCTAAGCCTTGTACTTTTGGGCATTGCGCCACTCTTTTGCTGAATATCAGCAGCATGTCTGCTACTATCTACACGTAGCTACACATTATATTCCTCAAACACACCTGAGCAAAGGCATGACGTGACGGTAGCCTCACGGGCTTGGAAGCGAGGCTCCGATCTGACGGTGTCTTGACGTCCACTTCGGAGCATAGAATCTTTCAGCAAGTTCTTGTACCTGCTGACCTTCCACACTGAGGCAGTTCTTGGACACTAGAGTTATCGTAGGGCCTGATGCTCCACAAGACCTCGCTACACACGGTGTTAAAGGGAATTCGGAAGTAATAATAACACAGCTGATGCCATCTGTCGGCAGAAGAGAACACTATCAACTGGCTGCTCAATAGTAGCCATAAGATACAGCTTACGCCATCTGTTGACATCAAATTACACCTATAACAAATTACCCTACAAAATACAACTAGCGACATCTCTTTTTTTTCCAACGCACTATAAATAGCCAAACAGCAACCCATAAGGCGGGTTGTTGTGCTCGGGTAGGAGGTTCCAAGCTCCGCCCCTAGATGGTATGGGGTGCATAATAAATGGCATATCATTGGAAGATATTCTTTGTTGACATTCACACAACACCCAATCACAGGAAGGGATCAGCTAAAGGCTCCATCCGCTTAATAAATCATCTTTATTCAGCACACCATCCTTGCCTATGATATTCTGTTTCAACTTTAATCGACCTAAAAAGTGAAGGGTTAAGTATTTATAAGCATTAATAAAGTGACAATTAAATACTGCAGGATGTAACGGGTGTTACAGAAACATGGGCTGGCTACCTGACTTGTGACGTCATCAGTGGGGGTTGCCTCACGCAAATAATATTGATGATACAATGATCCGTTCTCTTATTGAACTCGATTATTCAGTTAGATGGAAATTTCTGTCTTGTACATAACGAAGAGGTTGTGTTTGAAATAAAGAGATTTTTGTGCAAAAAGACTTATTTCTTAGTTTGCATACAATTTACAGAAAGAGTGTTGCCATTCCTAGCAACAGCCAATCACAGGAAGGTATTTGCTAAAAGTCCGTCTCCTTATCGACGTCCTCAGGAGCGACACCGATCTAATAATAATAATAATAATAATAATAATAATGTTTATTTAGGCAAAGGTACATACATAAAGAGATTTTACAAAGTTTGTTGGCTTTATAGATAAGAGCTAGTACATACAATGCCTAAAGCCACTATTACGCAAAGCGTTTCGGGCAGGAAAAAACACTACTGACTAAAGCTTAAAACTAATGGGTAAAAAGAAAAAAATGCGTTGAGTACAAATAAAAATAGAGGTAAAAGAGGGGGGAACATTGTTGAAAAAACAGCACAAATACAATTACAAATTATTACATAAAATTACATTAAAACAGCGTTGATTTGAAAAACAAAAAAAAAAAAAAAAAACATACATGGGTTGACAATAGAGAGGTAAGGTAGGTTACGGGGAATTTATTAGGTATAGCTTCGTTTTTAACTTAAACTGGTTGAGAGAGGTACAGTCTTTAACATGGTTGGGAAGGTCATTCCACATTCTGGGCCCCTTGATTTGTAGAGCATTTCTGGTTTGATTAAGTCGTACTCTAGGAATATCAAAACTGTATTTATTTTTGGTGTGGTGCTCATGGGTTCTGTTACAACTTTCTATGAAGCTTTTGAGATCAGGATTGGCATTATAGTTTAGCGTTTTGTATATGTATAGTACACATGAGAGAATGTGCAGTGACTTAATGTCTAACATATTCAGGGATTTGAGTAGGGGTACCGAGTGATGTCTGGGGCCAGAATTGGATATTGTCCTAATAGCAGCTTTGTGTTGAGTAATTAGAGGACGTAAGTGATTTTGGGTAGTAGAGCCCCAAGCACAAATACCATAGTTGAGATATGGATAGATAAGGGAGTAATAGAGAGTCACCAGGGCAGGGCGTGGTACATAATATCTGATCTTAGAAAGAATGCCCACAGTTTTTGAAACTTTTTTTGATATGTTTAGAATGTGTCCCTGGAAATTCAGCTTGTGGTCAATGAGAATGCCAAGGAATTTGCCATCTAATTTGTTACAAATTTGGGTATTGTTTATTTTGAGATTTATTTGATTAGAGGATTTATTGCCAAACAGAATATAGAAAGTTTTGTCAATGTTAAGGGTGAGTTTGTTGGCAGTTAGCCACAGATGGACTTTATTTAGCTCAGTATTTACTGTGGAATTTAGAGCAAGGGGATCAGGACTGGAGTAAATGAAGGTTGTGTCGTCAGCAAATAGGATTGGTTTGAGGTGTTGGGAGGCATTTGGAAGGTCATTAATGTAGATGAGAAAGAGGAGAGGGCCAAGTATGCTGCCCTGGGGAACACCAATGTTGATGGGTAGGGTGGGAGAAATTGTATTATTCACAGAAACACATTGGAGCCTGTCAGTAAGGTAGGATTTGAGGTATTGTAGGGAGTGTCCTCTGACACCATAATGATGTAATTTAAGAAGAAGGTTTTGGTGGTTGACAGTATCGAAAGCTTTACGCAGGTCCACAAATAACCCAACAGGGAACTCATTTTTATCAAGAGCTGTATGAATCGAGTTAAGCATACTAATAAGTGCATCGTTAGTGCTTTTTTTGGGCCTGAAGCCATATTGGCAAGGGCTAAGTATATTGAGTTTGGCTAGATATGAGTAAAGCTGCTTATAGATTAGTTTTTCAAAAATTTTTGACAAGTTTGGCAGGATTGATATAGGTCTGTAGTTGTTAACATCTGTGAGATCACCACATTTGTGGACAGGCGTTACTCTCGCTTTTTTTAGAATATCTGGAAAGGTTTGGAGTTCAAGTGACTTGTTGAAGAGCAAAGCAATAGCAGGGGCTAAAGATCTGGAGGCTTTTTTGTAGATTAAAGTTGGTATCTCCTCAAGGGCACCAGACTTGGTTTTAAGGGAAAGGATTATCTCATTGACGTCAATGGAATTAATAGGCTTTAGGTACAGAGACTGTGGATAGTTACCTGTAAGATAGTCCTTAATGTCAGTACTGGAAGATGGAATATCATTAGCAAGGGATGAACCAATGGAAGAGAAGAACCTATTGAACTCAATAGCAGAATCAGAGGCTGAAAGCTGACCATCGTTATTAGACAGGAGAGTCGGTTTGTTATTTAAAGACTTCTTTGATCCCAATATTTGTGAAATTGTTCTCCAAGTTTGTTTAATGTTGCTCTTTATTTGGGTAAATTTATCTTCGTAGTATTTAGTTTTGGCTCGTCTAATTATCTTAGATAGCAATAATGAGTAATTCTTTGAGAATTCTTTGGAGACAATCCCTAACCTATACTTTTTCTCAAGGTCATGTTTTTTATTAATAGATTTAAGTATTCCCTTTGTAAGCCAGGGATTGTTAAGCCTTTTGGTTGTGACTTGTTTTGTAAGCATAGGACAGTGGGTATTATAAAGGCTAAGAGTTTTTTGAAGAAAAGATTGAACTGCTAGGTTGATGTCCTCTATGTTACCTAACTCGGACTCCCAGTTGACATTATCAGTAGCAGTTATAAAATTGTCTATAGCAGTTTCATTGTGTAGTCTAAAACGTATCTCTCTTGACTCAAGAGGTGGTTTGCTAATGTTACTTAAGAGAAATGTGGGGTAATGGTCTGTAGTGCTATCGGTGATTATACCTGAAGTAAGCGGAGAGGTTATATTTGTCCAGATGTGATCTAGAGTCGTGGCAGTGCTATCAGTGATTCTAGTAGGTCTAGTGATTAAGGGTATGAGGAAGCAGGAGTTCATACAGTTGAGGAAGCTAACAGCAGTAGGGTGTTCTGGCTCGCAGAGGTCAATATTAAAGTCCCCTGCGATAATTAGGTGGGTTTTGTTCAGTCTGTTATCAAGTATTAGATTTCTAAGGTTTGAGTTGAATTCGGACACATCAGTGTTAGGAATTCTATAAACTGCACCCACAGACAGGATAGACTCGGCACCCTTGACTCTGAAGCTGGCGAAGATATACTCCCCATAGCAGTCTCTAGTTCTAATTTCTTTTAAGCATGTTAGTTCTTGGTGGTAGTAAAGAGCAGTGCCACCACCTCTCTGAAGTTGACGACAGTTGTGGATTGCTGAGTAGTTAGGCATGTTAAAGAGTTGAGTAGTATCATCTTTCAACCATGTTTCAGTAAGTATAATAAAAGAGAAATTGTTGTCAATAGCTTCAATCAAGGCACTAACATCATCGAAGTGTTTGCCTAGGGATCTAACGTTCAAATTGATTACAGAGATATTGTGACTATGAGTTAATACATTGTTTACATCATGTGCTGCAAAATATCTGCAATTTAGATCATTAAAGTGATTATTGTCATAGATAGTGGATAAGAGGTTAAGTTCTGGGTCTATACTTGACTGCATAAAAAAAGCTGATTGCAGGAAAAACAAAAAGAAATAAATGTACACAATACTGTACCAAACAAACACAAAAGGGGCTTACAGGGGTACAATGGAGTAAGGGAGTATGGCTAGGCTAGGAAACCTAGGTAATGAATGAGATTAAAGAAAAAAACATATAAACATGGACTATACAAAACACAAGATATAGATATACAAAACAAAAATATAAACAAGACTAAGCAATACAAAAAAATTGAGCAAAAATGAAAAATGAGGTAGATTGCTTACAGGTACTCTCAGGTACACTGTAAGTAACAATAGACAGAAAATATATATCAATATAGAAAAGAATGTCACAATACAATAAGATAAGCAATTACATGAACAGATGAAAAACAAATCTGCTGTAAAATAGGAAGTAATTATAGCAAAACACAACAATATAATAATATAACAATACAATAAGAGCTTACAAAGTATTGAGTCTGCTAAATTAGAGAATAATTATGGCAAGACACAACAATAAATGCAAGCAAACAAGGAATTGAAACAATTAGAGGTAGAATTAAGGTCACTAGATAGCCATGGAGGATACACAAGTTTGGTGGAGAGAACAAAAAATCAGTAGAGACTGTCAAGATGAATATATAAAAAAATTTGACAAATGATAATTGTAAAGTAAAATAATCTTAAAGATAATAAATTTTATTAAGCTTAGTTTTAACTTATAATTAGTATGAACTTAATTAAAAGAACAAAAATGAGATCAATAATTGATTTCAATAAATGACATAGATCAATACAAATAAATTTAAAATATAAATGGAATAGGGTAAGATTAGATTTAAGAGTAAAATTTTACAATGAAACTGAGGTAGATGCTTGCATAAGTGCATGGAGACTTGATGGATTATTTAGGAATTTACTTGATGGATTATTTAGGAAATATCTAGCTTATGGCTTACTGTTTCATCTCTTGTAGATGAAAAATATGAATATTTCGATTACTATGATTATTAAATGTATGAGATTATAACAGTTGTTACACAAAATGGCTAAATTTTGCCATTAAAAAGAGCTTATAGTGGATTTTGTAATAGAGTTTTATGGAAAGGGAGTTATACAATTTTTCTAAATATCTTCTGATATGGATGCTACTCTATCTCAAAGGGATAGAGTAGCTTAGGCTATTTCTGCCCCCCTCTTCTTCAAGTCCGTCAAGGAACTCACAAATTCAGTGAGTACAAATACACAAATCACAGTACAAGAATCCCATTTAACATTGCAAAAATAATATATTTTAGGAGTAAATCCTTGTCTATGTTAATATTTATTAAACATTTAGTGGTGCTGACTTCTCAATTCGTGTAGCTAATACTTGAAGGCTTCTCTCCAGTTCTTTGTAGATTTTATACCAGTCAGAACAATGAGTAAGGGCTCTGAGTATAATTGCGTTTATTAAACTATTCTTATATCTGTCTGACTATTCATACAAGTTCCAGTGTTGGTGGGTTTAGTATAACCTTCTGTGGTGAAAGTTGTCTTAGGTTCTCACGTAGACATGGAGGAGAGGGAGTGTACCATCGACGCCTAGTTCATGAGTAAAGTTAACTCGGATAAGTAGATCCTTTAATAGTGACAATTCTAGGATTTTTTTTTCACAAATACGTATATATTATCGGTGTATCTGCAGTAGATGCGAAGTTTCCCTGTGGTATTGAGGGTTTTCTAGTGTTCATATTTAGAGTACCAATGGGTTTTATTTATATTTTTAATACAACAAAAATTAATTACTATAATGATTCGATTATTTCTGAGGGCCATTATTTCTGAGTGGGCTCAAAAATTTATTCCCCTAAATAAATGCACATTATTATAATTATGATTGACTAAATTGTATGATTGACTAAATTGAATTATAATGCCCGAAACGCTTTGCGTAATAGTGGCTTTAGGCATTGTATGTACTAGCTCTACCTATAAGTCAAACAATTCTTGTAAATATTTATTGTATGTATGTACCTTACCTAAATAAAATTGTATTGTATAAATCTAGTCCTTGCAGGCGAGATCAGTTGTGAACGCCAGCTAGCGCACAAGTACAAGAGCGCCCAAAATTACCACATAAGACATGGAGAGACAGGCGTGTAGCTTCTGACTTTGTTTTTATTAATTAATATTACATGTTAAGCGTTTACTGTTAATACATATTATTATATATAAGTATAACTATCACACAGTACATGTAATAGGAGTCTACCCAAAAACTGGCCACAGTGAAGTGTTTTGTGCGTTCGACCATGTTTGTGGGCCTTCAGATACTAAGTGTAAACACTGGCGGGCGTCGTTCTTATGAAGCCAAGATTATGTCCATAACATCACTCAACTTCATTTAATAACTATACGCCTGTTAACTAGAAGATTTTAACTGTTAATAGGCTTACATTGGGGTTGTAATATTGAGTAAGTATATATATATATATATATATATATATATATATATATATATATTATATCTTCATATATATATATATATATGAAGATATATATATATATATATATATATATATATATATATATATATATATATATATATATATATATATATATATATATATGCAAACAAGCCTGAATGGTCCTCGTGCATATATGCAACCGAAAACTCTATACCCCCAGAAGTGACTCGAACCCATACTGCCAGGAGCACTATGCAACTGGTGTACAGGAGACGTTAACCAGTCGACCATCACGACCATACAAAAATATGATGGTATCCGAGGCTATTTGCCCATCATCCCGACGGCACTTTGATGGTAATCTTGGGCATAGTTATTTTATCCAATCACTTCATTTTTTTGGGCCACGGAAGCAACACAAATTAAGTTAGGTTCGTTTAATTTGTCCTTATACAATTTAATAAATAAAAAGGCTTTCCTAATGTGACGATGTCTATTGAAGTTTGTAACTAGCTCATCAAGATTGTAACTTGCTTAGCTAAATAAATTGTGGGGTTCAGTCCCAAAGCCCAGTATGTGCCTCTGTAACCCTTTCCTCTACCGCCCACAAGATGGGTATGGGGTGCATAATAAATGAACTAAACCAGCCACCTTGGTATAAGCCTAACATGTATATATACACTGGCTGCCTGTCCCCTACAAAATGATTTATTATTAACTATTATATACAGTATACCCGGCTAAAGCAAACACAGTACAGTTTCGTCATAAGAGATTCCTAGATTGGAATTTATTATCAAATTTCAATATATCAAAGTATTTTTAGTGTGAAATGCTGATATTTTATGCATCATTTGTTGCTTTAATTGATATAATGATATTCTTAACAGCAGATAAAAGAAAAGTAATTGTTACCTAATACCAGAATAGTATAAAATTTAACATAAGCTACGGGATTTGTGGATCAGTGTTTAAAGGGAATTCGGAAGTAATAATGATACAGCTGATGCCATCTGTCGGCAAAAGAGAACACTATCAACTGGCTGCTCAATAGTAGCAATAAGATACAGCTTACGCCATCTGTTGACATCAAATTACACTTATAACAAATTACCCCACAAAATACAACTAGCGACATCTCTTTTTTTTCCAACGCACTATAAATAGCCAAACAGCAACCCATAAGGCGGGTTGTTGTGCTCGGGTAGGAGGTTCCAAGCTCCGCCCCAAGATGGTATGGGGTGCATAATAAATGGCATATCATTGGTAGATATTCTTTGTTGACATTCACACAACAGCCAATCACAGGAAGGGATCAGCTAAAGGCTCCATCCACTTAATAAATCATCTTTATTCAGCACACCATCCTTGCCTATGATATTCTGTTTCAACTTTAATCGACCTAAAAAGTGAAGGGTTAAGTATTTATAAGCATTAATAAAGTGATAATTAAATACTGCAGGATGTAACGGGTGTTACAGAAACATGGGCTGGCTACCTGACTTGTGACGTCATCAGTGGGGGTTGCCTCACGCAATATTGATGATACAATGATCCGTTCTCTTATTGAACTCGATTATTCAGTTAGATGGAAATTTCTGTCTTGTACATAACGAAGAGGTTGTGTTTGAAATAAAGAGATTGTTGTGCAAAAAGACTTATTTCTTAGTTTGCATATAATTTACAGAAAGAGTGTTGCCATTCCCAGCAACAGCCAATCACAGGAAGGTATTTGCTAAAAGTCCGTCTCCTTATTGACATCCTCAGGAGCGACACACAGATCTAGCTTACGGCTTCCTGTTTCATGTCTTGTATATAAAAAATATGAATATTTTGATTACTATGATTATTAAATGTATGAGATTATAACAGTTGTTACACAAAATGGCTAAATTTTGAGCCATTTTGATAAAAGAGCTCATAGTGAATTTTGTAATAGAGTTTTATGGAAAGGGAGTTATACAATTTTTCTAAATATCTTCTGATATGGATGCTACTCTATCTCAAAGGGATAGAGTAGCTTAGGCTATTTCTGCCCCCCTCTTCTTCAAGTCCGTCAAGGAACTCACAAATTCAGTGAGTACAAATACACAAATCACAGTACAAGAATCCCATTTACCATTGCAAAAATAATATATTTTAAGAGTAAATCCTTGTCTTTGTTAATATTTATTAAACTGTTAGTGTTTAATGAAGTATAATTTAAAAAAAAAAACTCAAGCAGACCTAAACAAACAGAAGGAATGGTAGGACAAATGGTTGTTATAAGAGTTTAACCCAAGCAAATGTAATGTAATGAAGCAGGAGTGTAGTTTTACGGGCTATTCATGCCCGTGCCACCTTTTGGGTGGCTTAATCTTCATCAATCAATCAATCGAGTGTAGTAGTAGGGAGGGAGCAGGAGGCCAGTTACAAGGTATCTTCTAGATGTAATGTATGTATGTATATTAATTCTGCTAGAATTTACCTACTTTTACTATGTAAATTGTAAATACTATGTAGATTGTAATAAATAGAATTGTAAATACTATGTAGATTGTAAATACTATGCTATGTATTCTCTCTAACCCAATGTACCTTCTTGTATATAAATAAATAAATAAATAAATAAATAAATATGTGTGTACGTACCCCCTCCCAGCCTGGGTCCTCCCCAACCCCCCCTGGACCCGCGTCCCCGCCACACAACCATAACACAACGGTACGTATTGTGGTAACCTGTCCCCGTCCCCTCTCTTGGGTACTTGTCCACCACCCATGGTGTGGTAGTTGTTGTGGGGGGACTACTGTCTGACCCATGGTGTGGTTGTTGTGGGGGGACAAGTGTCTGACCCATGGTGTGGTAGTTGTTGTGGGGGGACTACTGTCTGACCCATGGTGTGGTTGTTGTGGGGGGACAAGTGTCTGACCCATGGTGTGGTAGGTGTTGTGGGGGGACTACTGTCTGACTCATGGTGTGGTAGTTGTGGGGGGGACAAGTGTCTGACCCATGGTGTGGTTGTTGTTGTGGGGGGGACTACTGTCTGACCCATGGTGTGGTTGTTGTGGGGGGACTACTGTCTGACCCATGGTGTGGTTGTTGTAGGGGGACAAGTGTCTGACCCATGGTGTGGTAGTTGTTGTGGGGGGACTACTGTCTGACCCATGGTGTGGTAGTTGTTGTGGGGGGGGACTACTGTCTGACCCATGGTGTGGTAGTTGTTGTGGGGGGACTACTGTCTGACCCATGGTGTGGTTGTTGTAGGGGGACAAGTGTCTGACCCATGGTGTGGTAGTTGTTGTGGGGGGACTACTGTCTGACCCACGGTGTGGTAGTTGTTGTGGGGGGACTACTGTCTGACCCATGGTGTGGTAGTTGTTGTGGGGGGACTACTGTCTGACCCATGGTGTGGTTGTTGTAGGGGGACAAGTGTCTGACCCATGGTGTGGTAGTTGTTGTGGGGGGACTACTGTCTGACCCATGGTGTGGTAGTTGTTGTGGGGGGACTACTGTCTGACCCATGGTGTGGTAGTTGTTGTCAGGGGACTACTGTCTGTCTGACCCATGGTGTGGTAGTTGTTGTGGGGGGACTACTGTCTGTCTGACCCATGGTGTGGTAGTTGTTGTGGGGGGACTACTGTCTGACCCATGGTGTGGTAGTTGTTGTGGGGGGACTACTGTCTGACCCATGGTGTGGTAGTTGTTGTGAGGGGACTACTGTCTGACCCACGGTGTGGTAGTTGTTGTGGGGGGACTACTGTCTGACCCATGGTGTGGCAGTTGTTGTGGGGGGGCTACTGTCTGACCCATGGTGTGGTAGTTGTTGTGGGGGGACCACTGTCTGACCCACGGTGTGGTAGTTGTTGTGGGGGACTACTGTCTGACCCACGGTGTGGTAGTTGTTGTGGGGGGACTACTGTCTGACCCATGGTGTGGTTGTTGTGGGGGGACTACTGTCTGACCCACGGTGTGGTAGTTGTTGTGGGGGGACTACTGTCTGACCCATGGTGTGGTAGTTGTTGTGGGGGGGACTACTGTCTGACCCATGGTGTGGTAGTTGTTGTGGGGGGACTACTGTCTGACCCACAGTGTGGTAGTTGTTGTAGGGGGACTACTGTCTGACCCATGGTGTGGTAGTTGTTGTGGGGGGACAAGTGTCTGACCCATGGTGTGGTAGTTGTTGTAGGGGGACAAGTGTCTGACCCATGGTGTGGTAGTTGTTGTAGGGGGACTACTGTCTGACCCATGGTGTGGTAGTTGTTGTGGGGGGACAAGTGTCTGACCCATGGTGTGGTAGTTGTTGTAGGGGGACAAGTGTCTGACCCATGGTGTGGTAGTTGTTGTAGGGGGACAAGTGTCTGACCCATGGTGTGGTAGTTGTTGTAGGGGGACAAGTGTCTGACCCATGGTGTGGTAGTTGTTGTGGGGGGACAAGTGTCTGACCCATGGTGTGGTAGTTGTTGTAGGGGGACAAGTGTCTGACCCATGGTGTGGTACTGTAGTTGGAGGTAGACAACTGCTGTAATTATCTAAGTGTAGTTACAGGATGAGAGCTACGCTCATAGTGTCCCGTCTTCCCAGTACTCTTTGTCATATAACGCTTTGAAACTTCTGACGGTCTTGGCCTCCACCACCTTCTTACCTAACTTGTTCCAACCGTCTACCACTCTGTTTGCGAAAGTGAATTTTCACATATTTCTTCAGCAGGTTTGTTTAGTTAGTTTCAATCTATGACCTCTTGTTCTTTAAGTTCCAGGTCTCAGGAATTCTTCCCATTCAATTTTATCGATTCCCATTACAATTTTGTAGGTAGTGATCATATCGCTTTTTTTTCTTCTTCAGTATCGTCTTGTTTTGGCATATTTAATGCCTCTAAGATCAACTCGTAACTCTTGTCTTTCGGTTCTGAGAGCCACTTAGTAGCATGTCTTTGCACCTTTTCCAGTTTGTTGATGTGCTTCTCAAGATATTGGTACCTTGAGGTTACCTTGAGATGGTTTCGTGGGCTTAGTGTCCCCGCGGCCCGGTCCTCGTCCAGGCCTCTGGTCGAGGTACCATACAAACCTCTGGTACCATACAACCGCAGCATATTCCAGCTTTGGTCTAATATAAGTCGTGAACAATTTCTTTAGTATTTTGCCATCCTTGTACAGTACAGTATTTAAAAGTAATTCTGAAATTAGAAAGTGTAACATAGGCTCCTAACATGATGTTCGTTGTGTGGTCCTCAGGTGATAGTTTTCTTTCTAGAACCACCCCTAGATCTCTTTATCAGAATTCTTTAAAGATTTCTTATGTCATTTATAGGTTGTGTGGGGCCCATGTTCTCCTATTCCACATTCCATAACATGGCATGTATTCACATTAAATTCCATTTTGCCAAGTGGTGCTCCATACACTTATTTTGTGCAGGTCTTCTTGAAGAGCATGACAATAATCTAAGTTTCTTATCTTCCCGATTATTACTCGCACATTTGCAGCCACCCCAGACTCGCAGCCACCCCACACCCGCGCCCACCCCACACCCGCAGCCACCCCACACCCACAGCCACCCCACACCCGCAGCCACCCCACACCCACAGCCACCCCACACCCACAGCCACCCCACACCCGCAGCCACCCCACACCCGCAGCCACCCCACACCCATCCAGCCTCCCCACACTCTCATCCTCCCCACACTCTCATCCCCCAAACAGCCCCTCCCCCCATCAGCCCCCCCCCATCAGCCCCCCCCATCAGCCCCCCCCCCCCCCCCCCATCAGCCCCCCCCCCATCAGCCCCCCCCCCATCAGCCCCCCCCCCATCAGCCCCCCCCCCATCAGCCCCCCCCCCATCAGCCCCCCCATCAGCCCCCCCCATCAGCCCCCCCCCCATCAGCCCCCCCCCCCCCCCCCCCAGCCCCCCCCCCCCATCAGCCCCCCCCCCCATCAGCCCCCCCCCCATCAGCCCCCCCCCCCCATCAGCCCCCCCCCATCAGCCCCCCCAACACAGCTTCCCCCCATCAGAATGTTGTGTATTTTGCAAGATGCACAGTACACAATAGTGAGAACATTTTGTTCACTTAGTGGAACAATGGTTTTGTATTTTGAGACAGAATTCAAATCTGCGATGACGGCAGTGAATGTAGTGTTGATACTCTTATAGAATACTTGGTATTGTATGTGTGTTATTGAGCAGGGTTGTATTATTTATTCATTTATTTATATATATATACAAGAAGGTACATTGGGTTGGGTTTATGAGAATACATAGCATTGATGTTTTTACATTTTTTGTAAAGCCGCTAGCATGCAAAGCATTTTGGGCAGGTCCTTAATCTAACAGATAATTTTAAGTAGGTAATTTGTAGCAAAATTTGAAGAATATTAGTAGGTACATTGTAGCATAATTTGCATTCAACATAACAACTGATACAAGTTGATAGGAGTGATTACAATGGTGAGGTTGCATGTCTTAGGCCATATATTGGGGTAGTGGGTAGCACAAGATACAGTGCGAGTTTGTATTATACTCTAGTACTGTAAAGTGTTCCACAATCAGACACTGTGGCCATCTCTATTTTATGGCCTGTGGCTCATCCTGTACAATGGGTTTCATCTTTTTTTTTCAGTATAATAAGCAAGCTGAAGTTTGAAATGACTTCACTTCTTTGGAGAGCCAGCAGTAAGTGCATTACTTGTTGGTTCAGCTTTTTACTAACAAGTTTTATATTGCACCTTGTAGGCAGATAAGAATTTCTTGAAAAGAATGGCTTGAGTTTTCAATATTTTTAAATTTATTAATTGATCTTAAATTCATCTAGCATTAGAATTTTAATTATGAATTCTGATTATTGCTACTCTTTATCGAACATTTGGTTAAGCTATATATACAGTACTGTATTGTGGCAAGTGCTGTGCTGAGGACTTTAAAACACCATTCTGTTTTCCGTCAGTTATTTCCTCAGAGTTTTCCCCTTTGTTATATTTTGGATGTGATAAATGTTTGATACATTTTATACAAGGAATAGTGTATAACATTATTTAAATATAAAAAATTGCTTAAATGTTTGAAAAAACTGCACCTGCCTTCAATGGTGTATCACACTTTAGTGTTTATGTATTCAGTTAAAATGAGACGATATTCGGAAATGTTGTGGCCTCTATATGGTAATGTTCAGTACTAGCTGTGTCTTGGCATGTTATCCAGTGTACATTAGGCCTTGGTGTAATTATCTAAGTTTAATGCTAATTGTAGTTACAAGATGAGGGTTACTCATGGTGTCCTTTCTTCCCAGTATTCTCTGTCATATAACAGTTTGAAACTGGTTTTGACCATCACTACCTTCTCACTTAACTTGTTCCAACCGTCTACCACTCTCTTTGCAAAAGTTAACTTTTTAACACTTTCGTTGCCCGATCACACACATTCCATCACAAACCAAAATTCGGAGAGTGCGTGATGACGCAAACAGCGTCATTAGTTTGTCCCGTCTTGCCCTGGGTAGGGAGCGGGTTCGTGCCAGGCAGGTGCACCTTGACCGGCGCAATTTGCACTCAGCGGCGACCGAGGTTTCTCTCTGAGGAAGAGTTAGTCTGTGTGTTGCTTCGGGGTTCTTTTGTTTATTTGTTTTTAGTGCATTCTCGCTTTCTGAATGCATTTAGAATTTAGTGCATTCCTCCCTGGTTCAGTGACAGTAGACGCACTCTGGGTGGACCCAGTTTCCCTGGTTCCCTGTTCCAGGGCTCATGTCTCTCAGGTTGTCCGCCGAGTTAAGTCTAGCCAGCCTGCGGTCTTCTCTCGTGTCCATGATGTGAGGAAGTATGCAGCTCTGGCTGCCGTCTTTGGTAATATATCTAGGGGCGATATTCGGGCACGGGTTTTGGAAATCGAACAGGGTCTTGGTCGTTAAATATCTTGTTAACGTTCCGGGCCCTCTGCGGCCATGTGTTGCCTTGGGACGTCTGTTGCGGCATCCAATAATCAATTGAGCTCCAATAATTAAGTGATGGTGTTCATGTCTAGGAAGGCTCCCTACTGAGGAAAGTCGTCACTGCCTCTCTAGGAGGTCATCAACAAAACATGTAACTTGTGATGTTATGGGCAGCCTTATACTGCTGTCAGTTGGTACACAAATGTTATAGAGAAGACAAATTGTGCAGCTGGTGTACATACACGTGTAGGATAGGTATGAAAACAGTCATGGGGGCATCTGTCGAGAAGAGTAGCTGTCAATTGCACAAGTTTATTGATGCACCCAGACACGCTAGTCACTGTTGTTCATGTCTGTCACTCCCTTGTCCCCAACCCCCTCTCTCTTCCTCTTATACTATAGCTGTAATTAACTCTGGCAAGGATATTGATTTTCATTTTTAGATAATGCTTGACTATTGGCAAATTAGTAATGGTTGTCAGATAAGAGACTTTTGTCATGAAGGTTGAGGTGAGTGGGTCATGTGAATGGCTCGGGTGAGGTGGACCATGTTGGTGGTGGGGGTGAGGTGGACCATGTTGGTGGTGGGGGTGAGGTGGACCATGTTGGTGGTGGGGGTGAGGTGGACCATGTTGGTGGTGGGGGTGAGGTGGACCATGTTGGTGGTGGGGGTGAGGTGGACCATGTTGGTGGTGGGGGTGAGGTGGACCATGTTGGTGGTGGGGGTGAGGTGGACCATGTTGGTAGGGTAGGATAGGACAAGTGGATCATAGGAGAAAGATACACGTCAGGTAGGTGGGTGTGGGGAGTGATGCAGGTGTAATTACACGCATCACACTCCACACCCACCTCACATGTGTATGTACCCAAGTGTAGTTAGAGAGAGAGAGAGAGAGAGAGAGAGAGAGAGAGAGAGAGAGAGAGAGAGAGAGAGAGAGAGTGAGAGTGAGAGTGAGAGAGAGTGTGTGTGTGTGTGTGTGACACAGGTGTGTGACAGGTGGCGTGGTCATTCTTGGTGCAGCAGTGGGAGGTGAGTGCTGGCACCGCTCAGCTCCCCGGGGGCAGAGGAAGGTGCTGGAGCGGTGGACTGTATCACTTGTATGCCTTACTGTTTATAACCTTGAAGTGTGTAGGTGTATTATTAGTGCAAGTAAATGCATTTAATTTTACCATTATATCCTAACAGAATGAGTGATCATCACTTGTGTATATTTGGTCTATTTGTTTGTGTGCTTGTTTAACTCTATATATACTGTACAGTATCTTGAGGTTATCTTGAGATGATTTCGGGGCTTTTTTTAAGTGTCCCCGCGGCCCGGTCCTCGACCAGGCCTCCACCCCCAGGAAGCAGCCCGTGACAGCTGACTAACACCTAGGTACCTATTTTACTGCTAGGTAACAGGGGCATAGGGTGAAAGAAACTCTGCCCATTGTTTCTCGCCGGCGCCTGGGATCGAACCCAGGACCACAGGATCACAAGTCCAGCGTGCTGTCCGCTCGGCCGACCGGCTCCCGTATAGTACTAGTACTGTACTTCAGAACTGATTTTGTATGTGCACTAACATATTGATGTTTGTGGGGAATGAGTTCCAACTCCTGGTCTCCATCTCCTCACCTAATATTAATCTACTGGTACTGTAGAATGACTTCCCAACCCTTCGATGTTTTGCCATACAGGCACAGTATTTTACTTTTATTGTACGCATGGAGTTAATTTTTAGTACTTCCCATGCTAGTATTTCTCGCTCCACATGAGCTGAAGAAGATCCTTACCGTCCTTGTGACACACAAAGATCTAGTGCTCATCACAAGTGAATATAATTTTAATAGTTTTGTTGATGCTGTATTCCTGCTCTAGGCTAATGTATTATTCTGAGAGGGTAATATACACTAGTAATGTATATGCACTTCTTTAAAGGTCTGTTTTTTAACCCTTAAGCTGTTACTATTGCCCTCAAGAGCAACTTGGCACCTATGCCCCCAATGCCTGTAGGGGACTGGATGTGCCCAGTAATATTCAAGTCACAAGGATTGTATGTGGACGTCATTCCACACTAGAGACCTGGCAGTCATTTGCGATATTGGGAAAAATTCCTGAAAGTCTTAGTTTTCTTACTGGGCCTTGGTAAAAAGATGGGCACCCTGCCAGGTGCATCACTACCTACTGTCTGATGCCATGCTTAATTGCAAGGACTTTTGTGGACCTGCAAGTTCTTACCAATGAACATTCTATTACAATTTGACATGACATCAATATTTCTCCACCTCAGTACAGCCAAACTGAAATGAATAGATTTTCTGTGGGGAGCCCCTATGGCTCCCTGAGCACCAGGAAGCCTCCTGGGCTCGCTCAGTAAATGGCGTTTTATTACATTAACGCTTCCCCCCCCCCCCCCCCCTCCCCCCAACGACATCAGTAAGCAATGTTTTATGATAAAGATTTTTTATGCACACCAGGACATCTATGTAATATTAGGTGCCCAGTATAGGGGATAATGATGCCCGAAACGCTTTGCGTAATAGTGGCTTTAGGCATTGTATGTACTAGCTATACCTATAAGTTAAACAATCCTTGTAAATATTTATTGTATGTATGTACCTTACCTAAATAAAATTGTATTGTATTGTATTGTATAATGTGCCTACTGATCTCTTGGGTCTTACAGCTACATTATCTATTTTGTACACAAATTCTGTTTAGTGTCAGATTGGTTGTTATTGGATATTATGACTTCTGTGCAGTTTTGGGATGTGAGAAGTGAATTAATGCAGTTGTTACGTGTTCATTATTGTTGGTGTAATGTAATGTACTGCATCATTATTACCCTATTTTCTACTTTCCTTGGGTGGGCAGGCTTCATCACTGGAAAAATGGATAAAAGGGAAAGAAAGTTATGTTAAAAGTGAAGCAATCAATACAATACAATACAATACAATTTTATTTAGGTAAGGTACATACATGCAATAAATATTTACAAGGATTGTTTGACTTATAGGTAGAGCTAGTACATACAATGCCTAAAGCCACTATTACGCAAAGCGTTTCGGGCATGATAAACTTAAATGACAAGCTTAATACTAATTGAGCATAATGAGTAGAATGAAAACAAGAAATGAAAACATAGATGAAAAAGCAGCACAAATACAATTATGTCGACAAACAGCGCTCTTTAAGGAAAAAAACAGACATTGGTTGACAATAGAAGGGTAAGGTAGGTTACAGGGAATTTATTAGGTATAGCTTCGCTTTTAACTTAAACTGGTTGAGAGAGGTACAGTCTTTAACATGGTTGGGAAGGTCATTCCACATTCTGGGCCCCTTGATTTGTAGAGCATTTCTACTTCTTCATCATGTGTTCTTCACTATATCAATGATTGTATGAAGCACGAGGGATAAACCAGCACACCCCATCTGTCTCCCACAGCAGCAGCATCTCCACTTGGTACACTGCTCCTTGTCACTTGTTACAATTACGCACTGTACTGTACTAAATACATTCACTGCTACCGTCCACCCATCATTGCCCCTTTTCCTATTCCATGTATTTTTACACACCTTGTAACTTTCCTCTTGTGTAAGATTACTGGAGAATATTACATTGAAACATTGATTATCATTCTTCTCGTGTTAACGCAGATATACTTGGCAACCGCTTGGCTCACGTGACACGCAAAATGACGCCCCTGACTCTTGTGCTCTGCGGACCCTCAGGTACTGCATTACCATTTATTTCCTTTGGGGAGGGCTTTTTTGTGCATGTTTGATAGTAAACTATTTGAAACACATGTTTTATCCATTGAAAGCTCTGCTTAATTGTGTCTGATCACACTGAATAATTGAGATCTCATGGTAATAGTGCTTTGTATATTCTGGACTGACTTTTGCATTACAGTACTTATATTTAAAATGATGGTTGTCAGTATGTTACTCCTTAATGGTACTGAAATCTTTTTTTATTAATTTGTACACTGTAACATTATACACTTTTATATCTATTTTTTAAATTGTGTAGGAACATAAGGTATTTTTCTGGATGGCGTGACATGTGGCTCCCTAAAGCTTCTAAATACTGATACGGTACCATCCACTAGGTCACATCAGCAGCGGAGTTCTGTAGGCCTACATGGGACCAGCGCCAAAACCTGCCCCCTCCACCTCACAATGGCACAGGGAGTGGTTACAGTTATTTTTGCCACCTCACTGCAGAAGGTAACTAGAAAGTTACCAAGTCCAAACAAACCACTGCTGACTTCAATAGATACCAAAGCCTGGAAATTCACTGAAAGAACTCTTTCCCCCCCCCCCCCCCCCAACTATTTAAACAAACAATTGAAGGACATGAAAGACCTCGGTGGGGGCCACACACGGGAGTCTTGGTCTCGCTGTGGTTGCGTTGATTGCGTTTCCTATGCTATATGCTCCCTTGCTCTGGGGTCAATAGCAACATTTTTTGCTGTCTAACTCGCATGTCAATATGCTGTGTTGGCCCATTCTTTGGATTCAGTGTCGGCCTTTGCTCTCCTTTTTTGCCTCTCCCTTTTCTCCTCTCCACTTTCCCGAGGATGTTGTTCCTCTCTTCAGCAGCTGTGGCTTGTCGGCCCATTTTGGACCTCCTCTTTTTTCGGGGTTCTCATTCTCAATCTTCGTGGCAATTGAGTAGAGCCGGAGCATTGTCTACTGTTGGTAGAGGTAGACCATCTGTGGAGTCAGATGTTGGGGCGATTGCACTTCACTCACGTCTTCTCCAACTGGTTGGTACTGTGCTCGTTCTTTTTAGAAGGTGGCCTCTCATGGTTTGCACCGGTTCTTTTGCTGTTCGTCCATTTGATGGGCCCAATTTACTGACTCATGGTCCCACAATTCATGGGCTTTTTGGATCTTTTCTCGTGGCCTGAGATGGAGTTGGTCAGTTTACCTTCTCCCGTGGTTTGAATCTTTCCAGGCAAGCTTCTTTCAGGCTTCGGGTGACCTGGAGGTTGCTCGAACAGTTGTGCAGGAGCCTGAACTTTGCTTGACTTGTTTTTTCTCTGGGCAAAGTTGGCTTTGACAACTGTTCTGGTATCTCTGGTTCAGCCCCTTTCACTGCTGTGGCAATTGTTGGGTGTAGGCCCAATTTGTGTAAGCAACACATATGTTGCTCACGTGGCCCCACAGAGTAAGGCGATTCGATGAAATATCTATGCCCGAGCTGACCATCGAACGCTGTCGGATCTTGAATGAAATAGTCTCATGACTACCAAGATTTTTGTGCAGTCGTATGGTCTAGTGGTTAAGGTACCAGGTATGCCAAGGTGCATAGTGCTCCTGGCTATCTGGGTTTGAATCCTTCTGGGGTGTGGAGGTTTCAGTTGTACACATATACATACATACATACCCAGCAGTCATTTGTTTTGACTCACTAACATTCTATATGACTTTCCCAGTGAGGTAATGAAATGTCACCGCTTCCTATGCCTTTGTGAGGGAAAGGGCCAAGTTCTGGCTCTTGTCTTAAGAACTTCACACCTGATGTGACCTGGTAGATGGGAACCATCTGAACGTATAGCTTCAGGGAACCACCGGGGTTTCACCCAGAAATTGCCGATTCATTAAATTCAATCTATTTTTTTTAGGAGTTGGAAAATCTACACTGCTGAATAAGCTGCTGGATGAGTTTGGTCCTCATTTTGGGTTCTCTGTATCTCACACAACACGCTCCCCGAGGGAGGGAGAGGAACACGGCAAGCACTACTATTTTGTCACCAGGCAGGAGATGCAATTAGCTATTGACGATGGAAACTTCATTGAACATGCAGAATATTCAGGTACTGTATTTAATATTTTATAATTTTTTTGTTTGCTGATTCTTTTTTTTATTTTGGGTTAATTTAACCCATAATGTCATGATAGCAGTGTGTTTTGCTTAATGGTTTGTAACTTTCTCATATTTAGTTGATGATAAAAGTAATTCTGCTATTCTAAGCTTTATGATGAATTATAATAAATCAATGTTCTTCTGATGTTTACCATTGCCGTGGTGTTTTTTCATCATGATACTGTATTAACATTCCCAAGATGACTTGTATGTAGTGGTATACACACACACACATACACAGGGTTGAGTGGACAGCGCTCTGGACTCGTAATCCCAGGGTCCAGGTTCGATCCAGGCTTATGGCAGAAACAAAATGGGCAGAGTTTCTTTCATTTCACCCTGATGCCCCTGTTACCTAGCAGTTAATAGGAACCTGGGAGTTAAACAGTTGTTATGGGCTGCTTCCTGGATGTATGTGCGTGTTAGTGAGGAAAAAAATAGTAGTAACAGTTGAGAGGCTGGCCGAAAGAGCAGAGTTCAACCAGAGCGCAAACACAACTAGGTGAATACACAGACACAATAAGAATTCCAGACAACAACATAGAGCACATAGAGGTGTCTAGAAACAAAGTTGAAAAAATGCTCAAGAAGCTACAAAGCAGTTGGTCCAGATGAAGTTTCACCATGGGTTCTGAGAGTATGTGCACTTGAGCTCAGCATTCCACTTCAACTGATTTTTCAGGCATCCCTGTGTACAGGAGTTGTAGCAGATGTCTGGAAAAAACTTACATAGTTCCAATCTACAAAAGTGGCAGCAGGGAAGACTCCCTCAATTATAGACCTGTATCATTGACAAGTGTAATAGTCAAAATATTCGAAAAATAATTAAAAGTAAATGGGTAGAACACCTGGAGAAAAAAGATATAATATCAGACAGACAGTATGGTTTTCGATCTGGAAGATCCTGTGTAACGAATTTACTTGGCTTCTATGATTGAGCTGCAGAGATTTTACAGGAAAGAGATGGTTGGGTTGACTGCTTTTATCTGGATCTAAAAAAGGCTGTCGACAGAGTTCTACATAAGAGGTTGTTCTGGAAACTGGAACATATTGGCAGAGTGACAGGTAGGCTTCTAACATGGACGACAAATTTTCTGACAGAAAAATGAGGGCAGTAATCAGAGGCTATGTATTGGACTGGAGAAATGTCACAAGTGGAGTACCACAGGGTTCAATTCTTGCACCAGTAATGTTCATTGCCTGCATAAACGATCTACCAGATGGGATACAGAATTACAGTACAGTATATGAACATGTTTGCTGATGATGCTAAGATAATAGGGAAAATTAGAAACTTAGATGATTGTCATGCCCTTCAAGAAGAAATGGACAAAAAGGTGTATGAAGCACCACTTGGCAAATGGAATTTAATGTGAATAAATTCCATGTTATGGAATGTGGAATAGGAGAATATAGACCTCACACAACCTATAAATCATGTGAGAAATCTTTTAAAGAATTCTGATAAAGTAAGAGAAATAGGGGTTGTTCTAGAAAGAAAAGTATCACCTGAAGATCACATAAAGAACATCGTTCGAGGAGTCTATCCTACACTTTCTAACTTCAGAGTTGTTTTTAAATACATAGATGGCGAAATACTAAAAAAATTGTTCTCGACTTTTGTTAGACCAAAGGTGGAATATGCAGCGGTTGTGTGGTGCCCATATCTTAAGAAGCACATCAACAAACTGTTAAAGGTGCGAAAGACATGCAACTAAGTGGCTCCCAGAACTGCAGGACAAGAGCTACGAGGAGAGGTTAGAGGCATTAAATATGCCAAAACTAGAACACAGAAGAAAAAGAGGCGATATGGTCACAAAGAATAAAATAGTAACGGGAATTGATAATATTGATGGGGAATAATTCCTTAGAATTGAAACTTCAAAAACAGGAGGTCATAGATTTAAACTAACTACACAAAGCTGCTGAAGAATTATAAGAAAATTCACTTTTGTAAACAGAGTGGTAGAAGGTTGGAACAAGTGAGGTGAGAAGGTGGTAGAGGCCAAGACCGTCAGTAATGTAAAAGCTTTGTATGACAGAGTGCTGGGAAGACGGAATACCACGAGCGTAGCTCTCATCCTGTAACTACACTTGGGTAATTACAATGCGTACTAGTTGATTGACAGTTGCAAGGCAGGACCAAAGAGCCAAAGTTCTGCCCCTGCAAGCAAAACTAGGTGAGTGAGTACTCACACATAAAATTGGTTAAAAATAGCAGAAACTAAGTGTCTTCATATAATGAAGGTAAGTGTAGTCCTAATTAATTCAGATTACTGGGACTACTATAGAGAGAATTACTTTATGCTTTTCATAAATTCCTAACTGAAGACGTTGTTAATGCTACCCCTCAGGAAACTTGTACGGGTCGAGTAAAAGTGCCGTAAACGATGTCCTGAAGAGTGGGCGTATATGCATCTTGGATATCGACACTCAAGGAGTCAAGCAAGTCAAAAATACTGATCTCCGAGCTCAGTTTGTTTTTATTAAGCCACCATCGATTGAGGTTTGTATTTGCAAGTACAGTATTGCAGAACTGTTTTGTGTATGGGATTTGTAGTGTTGCATATTGCATGTGTCTGCATCTTTGTAAACAAATGTATAGGTTTAAATACCCAAACCAGGAGGAGTTCTAACCCAATAATAATAATTATTAGATTAGAAACTTCCCTGTGATTTATTTTTTATAATTCCATTTGATGTATAAAAATCATTATCATCATTACCATCTCCTACTGGACTAACTAGGGTCAGACTCGTCCAAACACAGGAAGGACTAGGGTCGTCTAGAAGCATTATGGTTGTATGGTTCTGAGATGTAAGTCAACTCCGGGGCATCCACTCAAGCACCAGCATAGGGAGCCAATTCTGGGGCATCCACTCAAGCACCAGCATTGGGGGCTTAACTCCTGGGCATCCACTCAAACACAAAGTTGTGAGCTATAAACACAAACAAAATGAGTCCGTAAAGCGGCAGCTGTCTGATTCTAGCTCTTGTTGTGATGCAGAATCAGATAAAAGTAATGTAAAAATCCAACAAATATAAATGTCACAGGCCTTGGGGTTGAAGTATCACCAACCCAATAGGCAGCATGGCAGAGACAGAAAGAATGACTGTCAGCATGTAGCAAGGTTGATGAGCACCTTTAAAACCTTGCAAGTACAGTGGTGAGTGCGTGCTTGGCGGGTCGATCCATTATGAGTTATGTGCAGACCTGCATGGGATACCAGAGCCTGAAGGAATAACTTAGCAAGACACCCAGGCACTAAGGATCCTCTACGAAAGAACTGACACCAAACGCAACCTTCAGGATAAACACAGCTATGAAGGGCTTCAGCATTGTATGAACAAGCATGTAAGTTCTAGCGCACCACACAGAAGAAACCCAAATGGCCCTAAGCACAGGGCCTCGGAGAGGAGTCGGAGACTTTTGTACTAACCAGGGCAAGACACTACACAGTAACTAGGGTACTTGGGCGAACTCCAGAACTTGCCAGAGAAGTCACTGTCAGAGCAGGGACAATGCTAAACAATGCTTGGGGGAAGGCAGTCCTAAATATATGCAACTCAAAGCAAAGAGTAGACCAAATCCACACAATAAGGGAGGCTTGAAACATGCTTATGAACCAAATACCATTCGGAAACATTACGAAAGCAAATGGCCCCACAGGACAGTGTACAAGGGATGGCCTACACTTCCCGTGAAAAGAGGTAGGACTCTCTAACTTCGGTGACTCAGTGAGGTTTTTATTCAGACATCAGCATGATTGTAATAAAATTGCAGGCCAGGAGCTCGTAAGGTGCTGTCACCTGTTGGTGGCCAGTAGTAACTAGGGGAGGAGAGGGAGGGAATTATCAGTGGACAGTGCCAAGTCATTACGACTATATCATTTGGAAGGGGTCAGGATTAGGATTTGAGGTGGGACCGGGGGAAAGGATTGGTGCCCAACCACTTGGACGGCCGAGGATTGAACAGCGACCTGCATGAATCAAGACCGACGCTCTACCGTCCAACCCAATTGGTTTGAGCTTGTTTCTGAGTGAATCGTTTGTGGAGTCATTTGACTTTTTCAGTTCATCATTTTCTCTGAACTATTCAGTCATCTGTATTGCTTCATTTATTTCTTGGGTGTTTTCTAGGCGAGAGTGATTGAAATAGTCCCCGTGCTCCCCATGCCTCCATAAAGGGGGGACTAGGTTCTGGCTCTGGTCCCCAAGTAGGTGAATCAGGACTCTTATGGCTGATGTGATTTAGTAAGGGAAAGCCATCTCCGTGAAATAGCTTCAAGGAGCCTCCATTTGGCTCCTCCAAACAAGTGTATTGCGATTACCATTACTTAGCAAGGTGATCTGTCATTGAGATGACACCATTCTCACTTCCATCATAATTCATAATTTTCTTCTACAGGTTTTGACTAAAAGATTACAAGGTCGTGGCACAGAGACGGAAGAAAAGTTAAATATACGACTTGCTACTGCCATAGAAGAGTTAGAGTATGGAGCAGTTGAGGGTAACTTTGACATAGTGATTGTAAATAATGATGTTGATGAAGCTTATCAACAACTCAGAGAGTTTATTCTTCCAGCAATTAATGAGAAAACTGATGATTAATCTTGAGGAAGTGTCTCAAATACATATACAGTACTAGTAGTAAGAAAATTCCACATGCTTTAAAATTAACATCAGTGAAATTAGATAAAAATGTTATATTTTGAAGAAAGCCATTAATTGTCTGCTTGCCAGTGTAAAATTATTATAAGAACATAAGACAGTAATAATTAACGAAGGTGCAGAGGACCTATTGACCTGCACGAGTTGCCTCCTATTTATGTCCAACCAAACTCACTCAAATATATATCTAACCTAAGCTTGAAACAATCCAGTGATCCCGCAACTCTTATGTTACCCGGATCTTGAATACGTATCTTGCCACAAGCTTTAAAGTAAAGAAATTGTTACGTAGTGTTAAATTCAGTTTGCAAAGTGTTACTGTCGCCTGTTAATTCCACATATGGTATTTAAATATCTTTGTTGAATAATCACCTTCACTCATATTGGGCCAAGTCCATAATGCTACCAGTTGATGCAGCCACGTGGTACTTTCTTTCCTTCTTTTTATTATCATCATTATTATTATTATAATTATTATTATTATTATCATTATTACTGTATTATTTATTATTTGTTTATAAATACTGTATAGATAACCTTATATTTTCTTAGAAGTGACACTTTGATATATACTGTATATACTCGTCAAAGTATCTATTAAATAGAGTACAATATTTACAATGCAGATATTATGAAATGAAGTAAAGGTAGTACAGTTGCACAATAGGATGAGTTAACTTAATTCCCTCCCCTCTTTCTCTTTCTCTCTTTTCCTCTCCATCTTTCTCTCTGCAACTATAATCTTCTTTTGATTATAGAGTGAAAGAAATCCCTCCCCCAATCCAATATAGGTCAGTAAAACGGTAGGGAGATTTGCTGTAACCTAAGCATTATACTGTTGCTGGACGGCTGACGTTGTGCCTCAGTTGGATGTTGTTTGAGTGACTTGATTATTCCTGGAACAGCTTACATACAACTATGACACCAACATTTTTGTTTACTGGCAAGACCAATATAAACTTTTGACATCATTGAGAGCTCTCTGGAACTTCCTGGAACTGTCTAGTGAAGTGTTCATGAACTACTTTCATTAGAACAGTGAAGCATTTTGAATACTGGTAACAATTAAGCTGTGACATTTTAACATTGTGTACAGTGGAACATAGAGAACAATATTATTGTACAAAGTGTTAGGTACACCAGACAGATTATGTCAAGGCTCTCACTGGCTGCAGCTACTGATATACTTTACATACACACTAACACTTGTGCAGTTTCTACTGCACCAATTGTTCCTTAATTTTGCCAGGTGTCAGTTGAACACATTTTGTTTTTAACTATATTTTGAATGATATTGAGCCATGTAATATATAGTATACATGGTTAGTAGTAAAGAGCAATTTTGAGCACAGTGTTTAATAATAATATGTAGGCATGCATGAAAGTGTGCTATGTCACCGTGCAGTAAAATGCAACATTTGATATTACACGCAGAAATCACAATAGCATGATATATCAATAAACAAATCCATAAGGGCCGTGATGAAGGTTGCAATTCTTTTAACCATGTTATGGCATATAGTCGACTAAGGTACATCTGGGATCATCCCGGACGCAAGTTCGAATCCTCATCATGGCCCTTGTGAATTTGTTGATTGATATTGGTTCCCTTGGAAGTAGAAGAACTCTTAGAAACAACTACAGGTAAACTACAGATAAGATTTGTATGTGGCAGTGATCATTTTGGTAGTATCTAGATTAGTGTGAGTAATGGTGCCTGCATGCAGACATTATCTAGAGGCACACGTGGTCATATCCTCCGAGTTTCTAAGTTTTGAGGCTTGAGTTACACATTTAACTGCCCAATTATGGCAAAAGTCTAATTTTAAACAATATTTACTGCTTTACATGAGGACATTATTGTGTGATGTTATTGTCTAAGCCAAGGGTATTTGCTCATAATGTACTGTGTGTTTAATTGCCAACGATGGCAATGACTTGCACTTCAGATAGTTGAGCAGCCTATGTTAATAATGAGATTCTTAGGGTGGAGTATTTTCCTCTATTTCACAGTACTCTCATTAGATGATAAATGATATTTTAATTTACAAGCTTTAAATGCCTTAATTTAAGTTACTTAGGTGAGCACCAGGTATAATGTGTCCATATAATGTGTGTAACTCACTCACCCCTGGATGACTTGATGATAAGTTTTCTCTAGTATGATACAGTATATCTACATCATAACTTAACTCTCATACTGTTTATTGAGATTTCTCGGCCTCCTCTCGTGGATGCACTTGTTCTCAGCACTGAGATTGTTGTGTGTGGTAGTGGTGCTTAGATGCAGGTACTCAGTAGTAGCAAGACTGAACATTACATGCTTGTTGGGAAGAACTTGCTTGCTCCCTCCATGGGCAAAATGTTTGGTTTGAGTCAAAATTGTTTTGCTTAATTTTGATTCAAAATAGTTTTGATATGAAAATGCCACAGTTGATTGATGGACCAATGCTAAAATATTTAATTAAGCTATCTATATTTTAAGTACAGTACAATGTATACCTTAAGGTGTAGCTTTCCTCAGTGCGTGAGGAAAGCTTGTGTGTGTGTGTGTGTGCGCACAAGTGTGTGTGTATTCTCAAAGGACCAAACATGTATAGTTATGGTTCATTGCCTGCTCACTTCATTGCTAATTTTTCCATGTAAATGATATTGTAATTTAAATAGAATTTTAATTTATCTAAATTGTTACTTATTGGTTAATATTTTAAACTAATAGGTTTTGTTTTTTATGAAGGCATTTATATGAAAGTAAATGTAGAAGGCTTGTTACTCTATTATTGCATTTGTGTTCTTGTTTGTTTTATGGCATGAACTCGGGTGTACTTCAAATGGCAGTTTTACAATTGATTTTTGTATTGTCTTGACAAAGATTTTAATAAAATTTAGGGATTAATGAATATCCATAATTATATCCCATCATGCAACTACACCAATAGTGTATCGACAACAGCTGAAGTTCCTATACAATACGGTGTTAAGGTTCTACATTTTATCACATTGGGAACAACTTGATCTTAAGAACAGCTCATCAGCCTCCTCCCCCCCCCCCTCCCCTCACTGTAGACCCCTCTACCTTTGATTTATTTAGCTGGAAAAGGGGTGCAGGATGCCTTTGGTTTGTGGTTTCAATGTATCTTGTAATGTCTTCAATAGTTTCAGATAGAGAGGAAATGTTGGGAAGGGCACGTGTGGGGGTGAACATCTGGTATGATTAGTAAGTGGTGAGTAGTATGTGGTAAGAAGACTTTAGATTTATAAATGGGGAAGTGGCCTAGGTATGTGACTGGATTTTCATTGTACTGCACCTCTACTGCCACTGGAGGTACTGGGTTATGTAGATATGGGAGTCATGGCGATGGAAGTAGGAGGGTGGCGAAGGCGGATTAGGAGAAAGGGTTGTATATCCAGCCCGTCCTGAGGTTTCCCAACGTCAAGAAAATGGTCAATTTAAAGTATCCTTTCCTAACCTACCAGAGGACCTAAAACAAAAAACGGGACAGTACGTCACTTATGCGAGCTGCTTCCATTTTCTAGTACGACAATTTTTGGTCTTGTGTAACGCATACGATCGAAAAGCGACATTCTTTGTAGGAAGACAGGTTGGTATGTGTGGAAGACAGTCTACAAGATCACTTCTGGCAGCAGAATCCGGTGTAGTAGTGGACAGTGAATTTCTAGTTGTCATAGGAATGAGTTACCAAAATGAATTTGAAGTTGGATATTACCTGAATAGGCGATCAAGTGTGTCCTACATTCAGTGCTACAGTAACATGTATTACATTATTGAAAAGGCCTGGATTTTTAATTGCACTCATTTTCCTCCTACCACAAGGGCCTTGTGGTAGGAGGGGGACATTGGGACAACATGGGTGGTGAAGTGGGATAGTAAAAAATAGCATATGCCGGTCACCATTAAGAAGGATGGCACATAAGAAACCATCTATTTTTTGCTGCCTTAAATTTATAATTACTATACTATACTGTACTGTACTTTTCATCCATTCACTCTCTTAATTTGTGCCTACATTTTTTAAAGTCTTCTGTATTTTATTTCAAAAACATGTTTTTAATCCAGATGAGATGTTGGCAGAAGGCAAACTGCTTCACCTTCATATTATGAATTGTTAACTTCAAATGTAAAATAAAAATAGACATAAAACGGGTACCAAACAAAAACTGATTGTTTTAAACTTTATTTTTCCTAGATTTGTACATGTAGTATTGATCATGAAAGTTCTATTGTTCTAATGGATGTTCTATTTAGGATTAAAATAAAGCCATATTTTGACTTCACTCGAGACCTCAAAAGACAAACCTGGTTCTTGTCCAGATGTTGCAACACTTCAGGTCCCTCAGCAAGACTTATATAATACACAAGACAATCTATTCTTTAGATTATAGTGAGGAGGAAAAGTTTAACTTAAAACAAATATCACTTTACAGTTCTTAAATTTATTTACTCCTATTTCATGCACTATATAATTAAATAGCAAGAAAATCAGACCGATACTATTAATACAGATGCCTATACTGAAATAATAAACTAATAGTGAACAATATTGCACAGATGAGAATGCAAGTAATTAAACTTAACATATTTGTTTCAGAGCAGTAAAACCACTCTAAACAAACACAGAATTATGATCCAAATCAAATCTTAAACATGAAATTTAGTGATGACCAAACTTCTTAAAATATTCAGTAATAATACCAACAAATTTTTCAAAAGTGATCGTCATTATGGCAGTTACAATCATACTGACTAGTATGTACAATGAAATCAAAAGGTTAAATTCCGAGTTTGCAGCCAACATACCATTGTACAATATTCCTCTGTACCAACCTTTGTAAATGGTTGCATCCACATCCTCTGGTCAAAGTTTTTTTATATAGTTTTCTTATACTGAAACACTGCTGACGAGGAATGCCCCACAGCTATCGACAAACATTAACACCTCATATGTGCCAAGTTTCAATTAAGATACCTGTAACTGCACACTGGTTCTACCAGACTGCAGACATAAGTTATTAATGCACTTGAACAGTATTAGTTTCATAAAAGAAAAATGTTTGTATATTATAAGGCTTGTGTATTGCTGGTAATTCACAGTTGTAGTTTGTTGTACATGAATAAATACAGTAATAACAAATTGTTTTTCCCATGTTTTGCTGTTCAAAAGGAGAGAGAGAAGTTCTCAAGGTTAGGTTACATCCTATTCAACTTAATGAAAACCTACAACATAACCAGAAACATGCATCCAGTGAATTTTAATTTTCAAAGATAATAAGATTTTAATGTATTAAAAGTACATTGAACTAGTTAAGCTGTAAATAATATCTTGAACTTCAGATTTGCCATATAGAGATAAATACGTTTAAAAAGCATCTTTTAAGAGGTTTGTGATGAACAGGTGTGAGCATCAAGATTGGTGTAATTTTGCACCACGAGGATTAAAATATTCTCATGGCATTTTTAAGTTTATACATTCAAACTAATTTAAAATAAAATGTAAATTTGTCACAATAACAAGGCAAACTTTACTGCATTATCTGAATTAACCAGTGAAGCACTGCCTTAAGTCTCATTATCATCACTGGTGAATGAAATAATAAACACAATAGAAATTATAATACAGTTGGAGTTATTATCGACTCAATTGGTGATCTGAGGTTTGATTCCCGGGTGAGACAGAAATGGTTGGGCACGTTTCTTTTCTCCTAATGGCTTGGCTCAACTAGCAGTAAATATAGGTACCCTGGAGTTAGTCAACTGTTGTGGGATTGCATCGAGGAGAGGGTCAGATGTTTAACTGGAGGACCTTGGTACAAATCTAAAGTATATGTATACGCAGGATTCCTGTCCCCAACAATAGGAATTATCAATTCTTTTCACTTTCATACCTTAATATGATGAACGTCCTGTTTGTTTTCAAAGGTAATACATCATTACCAAAATTCCAGGACAGCCAAGGTTAAGATATACAGTACAGTACTAGTACCTATACAGTGCACTATACTTGATTACTTTAAAAAAATAACAGATGTGACGTCCTAAATGTTACTGCGTCTTTTTGCAAGATTTTTCTGCAAAGGATTTGCAGGATTTGTCTGCAATAGCTGCATTTGACATTTTCTGAATCAAATTTTTCATTGAGAAAATTCATTAATTCTATAATATTTGTACATTGAATAATTTAACCTTTTATAATTTTAACCTTATTATATTCAGAGCCAAGGGAACTAACATGCAAATACGTGACTCAGTGGAGGTACCTACCCTTATAGTAAAGGGGTAACTCAGTGGAGGTCTCTACCTCTAGCAAAGGGGTGATTCAATTGAGGTATTGTCCTATGGCAAAAAAGGGGGTGATTTGATGGATGTATCTACCCAACAGCAAAAGGGTGACATGATAGCATCACCTATAACAAAAGTAGCAGCTCAGTGTAGGTACAGTACCATATAGTAATGGGATGACAGTGGAAGCACTGAATGACTCGATGAAGGTTTTCTATACCGAAGGAAATACCATACCTACCATTCACAGTGCACCATGGGCTGGGATGAAGCATTAACTACACCCATATACATTTACATGGTTCAGCTCCCTCCCTCTGGTAGGTCATATATATAAAATGGAAAGAGCAATTTCCAGGACGGAGTCCTGGGGAAGACCACTTCCTACTCTACAGGAACCACTTAAGCTTTTTCACACTCTTGTCTGTATCCAAGTGTTCATCCCTATTTATGCGGTTTGATCACAATCTCATACTGTTGTTTTAATGCATATTTTTGTTTTGTTGCACTAAATTTTCAAACTGTTACTCTGCTGCCCTCTTGATTTTGGTGTACTCACTTCTTGGCCTCTTTATGTGCCTCCCTATTTGCCTGTGCTCTCATCCCTATACTTTTACCATGCTTTTTTTTTCTTTTCTTGCTTGGAATGACTGTTGAACCTTGAGTTTCTACTTCACATTTTTCATTTAGTTTCCTCCTGGGAAGTACGAACTGCTCCCTTGCTGCTATGCAAATGACTTTTCATGCCATTACAGTTTCCAATGAACATGTTGCAGGTGAGCCCTAACCCTCCTCGTCCCCTCTTTTGTATTTTCTCACTTTTTATACGGTATCTTGTTCCAATTCTCTTCCAGGTGTACAAAATGAACAGGATAATGCAGTAGTTATTGGCTCCCAGTAGCACCTCATACTTAAAATTGATGTGGTGGAAGTACTTGATGAGGGTGTTGTTATAGTAGTGGTGGTGGTGAAGTGTGGTGGTGGTGGTGGTGGTGGTGTAGTGTGGTTGTGTTGTGGTGTTGTAGTGTGATTGTGGTGGTGGTGATAATATTGTGGTTGTGGTGTTGGTGGCAGTATTGTGCTTACCTACAAGTGAATATAGGAGAGAGAGATCTATGTATGTCTGCTTTCTAACCTTTTATACTTATGGTGTACTCGCTTGTGGATGAAAGTAGCTTTGGCAACTTTTTTCAATGCATTCCACTTTCTAACCACACATACACAAATTTCTTTACATCTCAAAGCTTCTATTGGAAATCCCACTTCCACCGATATTCCACTGTCAGGACAGAATGTTGTAGTACAGTACTAGTACAATATTCTATTGTATCCTTCCCACTGGAGGAAAAGGAGTTAAATTGAACTCCTTTCAATTTAAATAGGCTATCCTTTTTCACATTGTCTATTCCCCCTTACCTTTTTAGGTCAATTAAAGTTGAAACAGAATATCATAGGCAAGGATGGTGTGCTGAATAAAGATGATTTATTAAGTGGATGGAGCCTTTAGCTGATCCCTTCCTCTGATTGGCTGTTGTGTGAATGTCAACAAAGAGTTTCTACCAATGATATGCCATTTATTATGCACCCCATACCATCTAGGGGCGGAGCTTGGAACCTCCTACCCGAGCACAACAACCCGCCTTATGGGTTGCTGTTTGGCTATTTATAGTGCGTTGGAAAAAAACTAGATGGCGTTAGTTGTATTTTGTGAGGTAATTTGTTATAAGTGTAATTTGGTGTCAACAGATGGCGTAAGCTGTATCTTATGGCCACTGTTGACCAGCCAGTTGATAGTGTTCTCTTCTGCCGACAGATGGCATCAGCTGTGTTATTATTACTTCCGAATTCCCTTTAAACACTGATCTACAAATCCCTTGGCTTATGATAAGGTTTTATACTATATTCTGATATTAGATAACAATTAATTTTCTTTTATCTGCAGTTGAGAATATCATCATGTTTAATGTTTTTCCTGCCCGAAACGCTTTGCGTAATACTGTATTTTTATGTAATAATCATGGTTTTTAGTATTGGTGATAGTTGTGGTGATGGGTGTAGGCGTAGAAAGGAAAGGGGGAATTTACAGTGTTGGGGAGGGAGAGAGGCAGGCCATTCAGTTAAGTGTTTACATTACTGTCAGAAGAAGAAAGGTTTGAGTTGGGTGTAGATAATTATTAATAGAAAGTGCAAAGCCAATATTGTTATACAGGTATAGAACTATGCATGTCACATAAGATTCAAGGTTCTTAGATAACGCTTGGGATAATATAGGAGCAGAAAGAAGTTGATCCATGTTAAAGGAGTCTGATTTTATTGGCACAAGTGATGCATAGAGGGGGGTAAAAGCCAACTTACTGGTCATGCTGAAAAATCACAACATTTATCTAGATGATGGAGAACTATGTGGAATAATGCAATTAGAAAAGTAAGGGGTAGCTTTCCAGTCCATCAAGTGCTTGGCGTTAACGTTATACTGTATAGCCAATATGTGACTGAGCCAAGGACTTCCCCCTACTTACTGCTGTATTTAGTTTTGGTGATATGAGATAGGCATATTCGATGCCACGTAATTTACTTTTGATAACAGACGTCTTTCTTTCCAAAGACTTTGAAAGAGCAAATAAAAAAAGGCCAGAAATCTGAACAGGGGGATGGATTCCTGGGAGATGGAACAAGTATGAAGAGTTTCCTTAACAGTGACATCTGTACAGGCATTGGAGGTAAAACCATGGGATGCCAGTATGTATAGAATTTAAAAACGGCATCAGTCTGGGCAAAACTTTGATATATATGTGTGTATGCAACTCTTAAATAAGGCCACTAACAAAACTAAAGCTATTCAGCAAGGCTGATTCCGAGATAACAACAATAAGGTGAGATC